CCGTCTTTTTATATATCTGCTGAACATATCGCAATCCGCTCGACATGACGGCCGCGTCGCGGTCCGCAAAGTTCGCCTTGGTCGCTTCTTGCCGAGCCGCGCGATCGGCAATGTCCGCCGGCGCAAACTTTCCTCGTTATACCCCGGGTATTCGCGGCAAGTACAAGTATTCGGGGTGGCAAGACGGCGGCACCCGTCATCTGCGCGGTGTGATGAGAACCGCGGGGTGGCGAAAACTTGCCACGTCGCGCCGCGCCGAGAGAATAGCGAGAGGCGTTACACCGAGACGCGAGCGAGCTGGGGAGTCTCTTCTCGTTTTTTTTTTTATCTCGATACCGATCGACATCGATCGATCGTTGCTTCGCCGTCGTCGGCTTCTTCTTCCCGTTCGTGCCTGCCTCTGCTTCTTCTTCCCGATACCAGAGCATTACCGAACTTGCGCGTTTCTTATCACGTACGGTACCGCCGCAGGAACTGGATATCGTGTTACGTTGCAAAAAGCGAATCGCCGAGCTCGACGAGAGTGACATGCCAATTTTTCAAAGTAGAACAACATATTTTTATCGCTTCGTACATTCATTATACAGAAATAACGATTTTGTTGAAGTAAAAATTACACTTGATAAATACTATTTTAAATCTATTTTAAATCCGCAAATTTAAGCGTTATTTTTTTTTTTACTTTTTACTGGAATAGAATACCTGAAATTTTTTATAATACTTGATTTTGCTGAAATACCTAAAAATTTAGGTACAGATCTGAAAATAATTTTGTTAAACTATCTAAATAATTACGTAGGAATCTCAAGTATGATAAGCTGAAAATGTTTTACCATTCCAGTAACCACTTTGAACGTCCTACATAATTATTTTAACGGTTCGATAAAATTATTTTCAGATCCGTAATTTAATTTTCAGATCTTGATCTATATTTTTAGCAAAGCCGTCTTTTCCGTGTCCTATATATACTTCTATAGGTCGCCATCATCTTGTACTTTTTTTTATCTACAACTTCAACTCTCCGAGTTCTTCGTGATTCTAGATAAACAACTCATACTAATGATAAATGATTAGTACGAGTTGTTTATCTGGAATCACGAAGAACTTTGGAGTTGAAGCAGTATAAAATACAAAAAACTCAGACCAAGGCGACCTATATAGACATGATTAAAAATAACTCAAATTGAGTATAATTTGACGTTATAAATTTAATAGTGTGTATAATACAATATTTCTGTAATAAAATCAGAAAATATGCCAAATATTATTTCAATATTTATACTTAAATAACTCGTTTGCGTTGATAAATTCATTTAACGGCGTCTTTCACAGGCTTATATCCCTGCAAATCCGTGTCCGGATTTAAAAGTGGCACACCGCGCTCCACTCATACATATAATTTTGATAGAGCTGTCTGTCGGATATCCAGTAGCCGCAGCGCATCTTTCGCCTTCTCTACCGCGTAATCCTCGAAAGGGCTGTGCTTCTCGACGTGTGGCGGGATTATGCCATCTGCCTTTTCTGACTTTTTTATTCGGAGATACGAGATACAAACCGGTGCGCCGTTTCGAGACATACACGTCCATACGCGTCCGGCAGCTGCCGCTAAGAAATACGCGCGATCGGCACGTACGTCGTTATTTCTGCACACGTCGTGGATTACGGCCGAGGTGTAACCGTCAGAGCGGATTATCCGGAATTGCTGTGGAACGCTACGGGCGATCGTACTGACAGTTTCGTGTCTATTAAATGGAGTGTGCTCATATCCACCCGTCCAGAGATTTGGATTCCGACGAATTTCCGCGGTCAAACAACCGGTTGTGTGGTAACTCCTCTAATCGTATTTCGTCAGTTTAATGGACAGCTAAATAAAATTCTTATTAATATTAGTTCTTAAGTTATCAGTTAGTTTTATGATAAATAAATTATTCAATTATTCATATATATATTGTTGCGATAAATACGTCACTCTTTAATGTGAGATTTTTAATGAATTTTTATATTATAAAAAATAAAGGGAAAATGTACGAAATTTTTCCTTTTTCTAGAAAATTTTCTAAAATTTACATAACTCTCTTAAATAAAAATTTTATTAAAATATATTTTTTTAGACAGTAACATTTATCTTAAAATAAATTTAATCCATTATATAGTTCATCTATCCTGCAATTTTACATGGAAAGAATGATATTGTTAAAGTATCTAAAAATTTCACTAAGATATAAATATTAAAATAATTTTGTTGGATCATCAAAATAATTACTTAGGAATTTCTAAGCGATGCTGCAAAAAGGATATGAAAGTCTTTCAAGTTTGAGCACTCTACGTAATTATTTTGTCCAACAAAATTATTTTCAAATCTGTATTTACTAAGAGTTTTTAAATATTTCATTAAAACCGTCCTTTCTATGTATTCATTGTATTGAACTAATTTAGAATATTAATTGCTTATGTTTTACTTTATCTCCAGAAAAAAATCAAGTACGAATTCGAGATTTATTCGCGGACAAAACCTGTATAAATGAATCGTAAGTAGGCTACGTAAATAAAAGTTGTCAGCTGACGTTTACTTGCAAGTTTGCCAACACTTTTAAAAAAGAAACTTCCTTTTTTTTTCCCGCAACTTTTTCCTCACACAGCTTCGCGCGTTATTGCCTCAGGCTCTTCAATTGTAAAAAAATCTGGCAAAAGTTATCCACTGCGACGTGATGCACTTCAGCCCCGCGGGCAGCTTCAGTTCGTGGCTTCCCTCTCCGAAGGATATGACGTCATCCCCTGCGCGATGTTTGCCGGTGGCGATAAATGGAAAATAAAAAAGGAGAACCGCTCGCGCCCTTGTCCGAGCGGCCAGCAGCCCCGGGAATAAATCACGATCGAATTGTTCTCCATGAGAAAGAGAGAGAGGGAGGGATAGAGAGAGGGTTCCCCGACCCTGAATGTCAGGCAAGTCCCTGCCGGAAATTAGAATAACGCGAACGATGAGAGACAAGCTGCATCCCATCCTCAGGCGAAACGTTCGTTGTCAACGCATCGTGGAAATGCATATCCAGTTGCATTCATTATATGGCTTGTAATCATTTTTAATTTGGTCGCTAAAAAGATTTGCAATTACTGTCAGAAATACGAAGCACTTTTAATGAGTTGTAAATCATAATCAGCGTTCCATAAATCAAAAGCTGCAATAAATCTTTTTTAAACGCTTCGTGTTAGTTATTTTATTTTTACTGTGTAAAAATTGTGTCGTTTTTAATTCGCGAACTACCGCAAGCAGCAGCAATTCATTAAAGGTGCTCTATGCTTTTTGATAGGAAAGCGTGCGGATACGATCTTTTTTTAGAATGATATTGTTTAACCACGATAGGTCGAACATTGGAATATAGCGTTGTACAGTGTATTCCCATTCGTTGCGCTCGAAACAGGGTGAGCTCGGATTTTCGTTTTTCCAAGTAATGAAGCCGAAAGGGAAATACATACGTACGCGTATACGGGTGTAACGTTCACTGCCGGAGCCATGTCAAATAAAATAAAAAAAAAATCACATGTCAAATAAAAGAATTAGTCCCGTTACGTTTCATGTCGCCAAGCTAGTCGATCAGATTTTCGCCTGCATGCCGCGCATTCGTTCCCCTCGATTTTCGGAAATCCTCCAACGGACGGGAACGATGACGTAATTTCATTACGTGTCAAATCTATCGGTCTTTTCACCGATTCACTTCATCCCGCCGGCATTCGCGTACTACGGGGTGGTCCGTTACCGGATGCTCTTTCATCACGCAACCGCGGGAATGAAGTTAGGATAATGATAGATTTGTCTGAACGTCGAGCTACGTATGATTACGAAACTACTTAATGTTGAAGATTGAAACGTTTGAGATAGCTGCTCTAGATTGATCAGAAATGAGTGGGTATAGAATTGAATGGATCAGGTATATAAATAAACAGCGATATTAATAGTTAGCTATAATATACAACTATATACAGCAATGGTTACACGGAAAGAACAATTTTGCTGAAATATTTGAAAATTAGATGATCCGAGATTAATTTTGTTGGAAACTAAAAAACGGTGAGCAGTGCTGCAAAACATTTAGCTGTTTTGAAATATCTAAAAATTTAGATGGACACTGATTTGAAAATAATTTTGTTAGTCTATCAAAATGTTGGAAACTAAAAAACGATGAGCAGTGCTACAAAAATATTTTGATATTCTAGCAACCAGAATTTTCAACAAAGTTATAAGTTTTAATGATCCAACAAAATTATGTTTAGATTTGTATTCAACAAAATTTTAAGTCTTTCGGTAAAATCGTTCTTTTTATGTTCTGTTGTTTCGAATTTATATCTCTAACTACCTATGAACAAGATGTCTAATGGTCGGGGCTATATGGTTATTGCTGAAGTTTATCCGCAATCCCGAAAACTCATTTTCGTCGCAATGGGTAACACTTCGTTAGCGGTAACATTCGTGCTATACAAGGTGTCCATTACGTAGTATTTTATTTCTAAGCGATTGGTCACAGAGTAAAGGTTCTTTGTCGTGTTCAGTGTTTCGCCAGGATCTTTAAATGGATGTCACCAAATATCGTCTCACTTTTGTAACCGAACGGATACAACGTGAGGATTTCATTGAACGATTCACACACACTCTTACCCAAAATCGAACATTCGAACTACACTCAAGCGTGCAGATTTAAAATGTGTCACGTAGCTAGCGAATAATTGGAGTTTCGAGTGCCGAGAAATTTTGGTGCACTTTGCATACTCTGAAGCGTGAAACACGCAAGGTGGATAGTTCGCTCGGATTGAAGAACCGACTTGTTTAAAGAGTTAAACAAGCTCGGTTCTTTAACGTAGTTGTACGACAAGTTGAAATAGCTATCCCTAGTATATATTTTTCTTGCTCGGCAACCGAAACTGCGCTTGCCATTCTATTGCTAAGAGAGAATTGCAAGTATTTCAGGTATACGTACGACTTCATAGTTTCATTGTTCGTGTTTCAGGTCCACCCGGTGAGCCGGGTCCACCCGGAAAGAGGGGCAAGAAAGGGAAGAAGGGTGATCCCGGGGAGCCCGGTGCGCCGGTAAGTACACCCTCGTGCCGATGCTTCAATACCACGCTCAGCATGCCATATACACATACATATATATATATATATATATATATATGTGTATGTATGTATGTATGAATAACCCTCGAATATATTAGTGCACTAATACACGTGCAGTTGTGTGTGTGCGAGTATGTTTATTAGGGAGTGCAGCTCCATGCATGAAATAGTAATTAATGATACGCGTTATATTAATCCCCCTTGTTACCCTTTTCTGGACTTGAGTACATTGAGTGGTGACTAATGTAAGCAGTACGCGCTTTCGCGAGAGACTTGCATGCTCAGTGAAGAGAATTAAAGACACACTCCCGCGAAGATGGTCTGAACCGTAAAGTTTAAAAAACGAGCTGAGTGCTACCGTGTATTAATCATGGTGTACTCTCGTTGTAAACTCCATTTTTCTTTGGGGGAGAAATTAATTTTTTCTTCCTCTCTCCTAAGAAAGTAGGAGTTTATTAGATTACTTCTGCGGGCGTGTCTTCAATTCAACATGACCGAGAACTTTGTCGCGTAATTACGCCAGATCAAAAATGTAGCTCGTCCATACCGGTCGCGGAGAGAGGTTGTATTTGATATTTAATTGATACTTTTCTGTTAGCTGCATCTTACAATGAAATATCGATGTCGGATGACTCGGCGATTAAAACGCGAAGTTACAATATGACGTTGTTAGCGGAGAAACAAATTAATCTCACTCGCGCGATACCAACTTACATTATGTCAAGGCGTAATTAATTAGTTTCAAACTGTACATACGTATATACAAATTATACGTGCGTACAACAACTTATTCACATTCTCGACCTCAATACGAAACTCGAAGGCTACTTACTCTCCCTTTAAATTTGATTTATTATTAAATTCTTTACATTTATTTTTTTTTATTCCTCGACATATATGTCGGCCCCGCATTAAATTTCAAAATTATACGAAATAATGGCTTTAAAGTCGGATCGTTATCTGTCGAACTTAATCATCGACTTTGAAATTTTGTGCCCGTCGCGACGAGCGGGTTCTCTCTCTCTCCGGCTGGCAGCATCGTGGGTGTTCCAGAGACGCGCGCGATCGGATTTCCCTCGCGATTGCCGATCGAGCGAGCGCATCGTCGCGTAATCAAAGATCGGATTGGCGGAACGCCGCGCCGGGTGAACCGGGAGGGAATGGACCGGCACACTCGTGTGCGTGCGCGCGTGCTTATACGCTCGTGGAATATCTAATTGGCCGGAATAATTATCGGCGGTAGTATATATATATATATACGGGTCCTTACAGCCGCGATCGTGTACATCTACATATATATGTATACGCGACCGATACGGGGCCGATAATATCGCGGGCACGATCGGCCGGTCCGCGAAATAATCGCTTTTGCATGCGCGCGCGAGAGAGTACCCTGAGTAAATCTCCCCCTCCCCTTCTCTCCCCCTCCTGCCTCCTCGTGTAAACGAGTTTTTAATTTTTTATACCCCTTCTTACAGGGTGTGGCCGGGACGCCGGGCAAGAACGGTTTTCCGGTATATTATTTTTTATTTTCTTTCTCCAACACTCTCCTTCTCGCTTCTCTCTCTCTCTGTCTGTGTAACGTCTGTCTGTCTGTCTCATATCCTTACATTTGCATTTGTTTCTCTGTTATTCTCTCTGTCTCTTTTTCTTGCTGTCACGGTTTTTTTTTTTTTTTTTAAACACCACGGACTATCATCACACTGTGTGTATCGAACATAACAGCCATTAAGTACCATTAATGCGTATCATGTAGCCGCTGATGTGCGATTTTTGCTCGTTTGACCTGCTTCTTTATCCGCGAGCTGTCTCTCGATCTGGATCCTCTTTCGGCTCCGATACAAGCTATCCATCTGAATTTTTTATTCTCTTTTTTTTTATTGTACCATATGTCTGTGCGCGATTCATATACGCGCGCAATCGAAACGCGAAATCGGACTCTGGCATCCTCACCTTCAATATTGTATGGCGCGTCGCTTTGACGACTGAAGGTGCAACTGTCATACGCATATTGGTGAGGAAACGGGTTAATTGCATTCTTCACTTGTTGCGTATACGATCATTTCTCGTTTTAATTACCGACACTCTTGAGCCACCTATCAACGTTTTTATTCGTACGAAAACTCGCGATCGATTTATATCAATAAAATTTGAATATTTCGAATAGTATACGAAGAAAGGTTTGTTTCCATGAAATTCGTATGAAAAAGTAAAATTTTATTACGGGCAAAATTTATTTTTCACGACGTTACATTGTAACGCTCGATCAATTGATAAAGAATATTTGCGCGTAGCTCTTATTTAAATTGTATGTAATGAAAAATATGTAAATTAGATACGAAATGTAAAATAACTGACGTTTATTTGTCGAGTCTGATTAATCACGGTGGCAAACGGTATCGAAAGAAATTCAGTATAAATTGGCGCAATGGTGAAACGCCAATTTCGAGATATGACCCGGCATCAAATATGAAAGTTGCTCCATCAGAATCGAAGCTGCGCGAAATTAAACATTCATCGTGTGCCGAATAAAATTTCTATTAACAGCGCTTCCTCGGTCGTCGCAAATGTACGCGTCACATCAGAGAGGATCATGCGAATGCACTTTTGTCGCGCCTGGAAGCATAACGACTCATCACGGTTCTGGTTTGTCGCGCTCTCGCCCGTATTTATTACATGTTACATACACAAGGAATGAGATTTCCAAGGGCTCGCTCAGCCCGCACGCAATTTTTCACTTTTCTTCGTTCGTCGTTACGGACGCGTGAACGACGACTGGCACTCACTGGCGGTGTTCTTTCAGGGACCCATCGGCTTGGACGGGCCCAAAGGTGATCCGGTAAGTTCACCGCATAATTTACATTTTAATTTCGTCGCGGCGTTACAAGCGTGCGAGATTAATTGCTTCGTAAAAACGTGAGAGGCAATATTTTATTTTGCGACGCTTAACGTTCTGAGAATAACATTATTTAATGGAATAATGGTTATGGGCGTGAGAGAGTTTTAATCATAATTTATTTTGTGCGGCGAGAAACCTGTTTTACCAAAATTTATGTTTACGCGAGGTGTCATATTGTAATAAATAATTCAGTAATTTCTTTTTTTTTTTTTCGTTTACACGCACAGGTATTCCCAGGTTGTACAGATTTATGAAATTTTTTAACATTTTATTTTATAAAGTCGATCGACACCAAAACAAATGCTAGACATTGCGAAATAATCAATTTGTGATTAAATATACGGAGATATCTTTGTAATTTTTTGCTTGACTGAACTGTCGATATCGGCCAATGCTCATACATATTTTAACCGATACGATATAAAATTAGATATGCCTTATCTAAATTTTCTGTCCTAATTGCACAGGTTTGAAACGAGGTCATTTAAGACATTTTGGGAGCATTTGCTTGTTCCACTGTTCTTAAATATGATTGACAATTTATTTAAATCGTGTGCTTCTCTTTCTCTCTTTCCGATCGATTTAGTTTAATAAGTATTTTACATATTATAGATACAGCCTTGGTCAAAAATATTGGAGCATCTTATTAACTATTATTTAAAGTTCTAGCTCAAAAATTGATTATGGCATTTTGTTTCAAGAATCTTTTAAATTTATATACTGTTTATATGCTGGTAACTAATAAGATAACAATGTAGGTAAAAGAATTCTAGATGAATGAAAAAAAATAAGTATCTAATATTTTTTACTAAGGTTGTATATATACGTATATATGTGTATATTATATAATCAGATACTGTTACGGAAAAGGTAAGACGTCGCTCTCGTCTGAAAAGACGACGATCAAGAAAGCAATAAAATCAACCGTTTGAAATGACGGACGTAAAGATAATGACGAGAGAGAGAGAGAGAGAGAGAGAGAGAGAGAGAGAGAGAGAGAGAGAGAGAGAGAGAATTTTGATATCGAGTTTCCGTCAGGCGCAGCTGTTCCTAAAAGGATGAAACTTTTCTGGTCTACTTTGCAGTTCAGTAGGAATTGGAGTAAGATATTTAGTCTTGATATATTTCGAGACACGATTCGATCGGTATTCGAATCGCAATCTAAATATAATCGAAGAAACGGGAACGCATTTAGGTACCAATCGCTCGTTTTGCTCTGACACTTTTCCTCGACTCCCTTGTTTGCAACAGCTGACGTATGTTGATCGAATTAGTCGCAAAAATACAGGATGATCAATCATATGGGTGATACTTTCGGTATACCATATACATTTCGCTATCAGACTTTGTTTTTGACGAGCAACGGATCAAATGCAGGCAATGCGAATGAAAACGTATCAAACTTTAAAATCAAATGAAAATTCGATGCAAATATTTTTACTGGCACTCTTATACGAATACGAATAATTGAGAAAATTATTATTGTGTTATTGTTATTTTGATAGCATGAAAATTGATCAAACGGAAAAAACGATTTTGAAGGAATTAAAAATTTAACTATATACAGTTCTGAAAATAATTTAGCTAGATACAGATTTGAAAATAATTTTGTTGAACCATTAAAATAATTACGTAGAAAATTAAAGCATGATGAACGTTGCTGCAAAATGTTTTGACATTTTAGCAACCAGTTTGAGCGTTCTACGTAATTATTTTGATGATCCAACAAAATTATTTTCAAATCTATACCTAAATTTTCAGTTATTAGAGCAAAATCGTCCTTTCCGTAGAAAGTATTTCTCTTTGGTACTTTAAGATTTTTGATACATAGCGTGTTGATAAAAAATATTGACTATATTAAAGTTGCAATATTAATTTACGAGTTTACAGACACGAAAAGAACGATTTTAAAAATGTAACTAGATACACACACACGGATTTAAAAATAATTTTGTTGAACCATCAAAATAATTATGTAGGAAACTCAAGCGTGATGAGCAGTGCTGCATAAAACTTTTATATTCTAGCAACCAGCTTGAGCGTCTACATAATTATTTTAATAGTTCAACAAAATTATTTTCAGATCTGCATCTAGTTAAATTTTTATATACTTCATCAAAACCGTTCTTTCCGTACAGGCGTCGACTGTTTTTTAGCTACAGTCAACTTTTTAAAATTTTTACGATAAAATAGTATTGAAAATAAACAAGAAAATCACTATAATTCACTTACCTATGAATATATTTGTACAGCGAAAAAAAGCTTTGTTATTAAAAAAGCGACGTTATTGTGTAAAATCATTATATGATTAACAAAGTACTCAGCTTTCGTATGCAAAAATAGTTTATTAAAATTCAGTATAAAAATTTACATTGTATTTTTTAAACATACGACTCTCTTCTCCGTAGTCAGAGTTGTGATTTATTAAGACAACTCCATATTCTTGGTCGCGGTTGCAGTGTGCAGCAGTGTGGTCGAATAGGATTGGAAGATGAATCGGATTTTAAATTGAAGATTTGCTCGCTCACTTGCACTCACTTACTCTATTAACTCCGCTGTTCGTCGGGAAGCAGTTACTTGGCTGCGCTCGATCGTTGTATTTTCTCCGAGATGCGATCTTTTAACTCCAATCCGACTCATCGGTTGAACCTATTCATCAACTGGTCTGCTATCACCTTCTTTTCGCGCTTAAATGGACGCGAGACGTACAAAGTCGCGACACGTAGAAGGTCGTTTCTTGCCATCATCATTTCGTTTATCATCCATAAATGTATAACAGTCTATACATAGGTAATGGCAACATGTCCCTTCGAGAAAGTAGACACGCGAATATCGGAGCGACAGGAGCACGGATTGATTATTCCGCATTCCTTATTTCGCCGTCTTATTATATATCTGTCTGGCTGTTGCACATGCAAACCGACTGAGCGCACATCATTGCGCTTTTGGAGTTGTCGCTTTCAACGAGGTCGGATCTGTATAGATACTCGCGAGAGGTAGATAAGATGAAAACCGTCGTCTAACGGAATATGTAAATTCACGTATTAGGATATAGAAGTTCCATAGTCCGCACGTTTGCTTCGAGAACTCGTCTCGGCATACGAGATGGTTGCACGAGACTCGTGCTGGTTACAACGACGGGGTCCTTGTATTATATCCCCGTACATGCATCCTCTTGTATATGCGTGACTCTCGGTTATGCAAGGTCCTCGTGACACGCAAAGTCTTTTCGCATGACAGGCCCTTGTATGCGCGTCGGTAGCCCTTTGTGGCCACCTAGTTTGCCTTACCGTAGAGAACAGCCTCTGTCTATTGGTGTACACACACGTGCCCGGCGGTGTTTCGCGTATACGTTTGATGTCGCTCAGGATGTCACGGAATTACTGCTATTTCCCTTAATTACAGACGCTACGTGATTAATTAAGAAGATTGACGACACACTAATAAGTGTTTTTTCGCCATGCGGGCGGTCAGATAAGAAAATATAATCTCTTACTTGATCTCGAGTGGATATTATTTGAATATTGTCATTATTTAAGACACGCAGCTACCGAGATATACCACATGCTAACAAGAAGAAGAAACAGAAAAAGATTGTGATTTCATATATAGACATATCCAGAATTTCAATTGGGGGAGGCATAAAAATTTATATTTACACAAAAATTGTATTAAAATATTTTTATCAAAGCCAACCTTTCAAGATATTCAGCGAACTTTATTACGTGAAAAGAACAATTTTGTTGAAAGAGCTAAAATTTTGCTGGATATATACAGATCTGAAAATAATTTTGTTGGATCAAAACAATTATATTGGAAATTAAAAATTGAGCATTGCTGTAAAAAAAATTTGAAATTTTAGCAATCAGTTTGAATTTTCAATATTTTTATTTTCAATATTTTTCATTTTGATAACCAAATAAAATTATTTTAAAATCTGAATTCAACAAAATTTTACTTTTTCACACATATGGTTCTACAAGATTTAATATTGTTAAAAATTTTAAATATATTTTAACAAAATTGTTTTTTTTTCTATACGTACGAATAACGTGGACTGAGTAATCAGCGTTTAGCTTTTCATCGTAAAACTGATTTTAATAATTTAATTGTTCTTAACAATATTAAAAGATTAGAACAAAACCACTTATACGAATACATCAACTAACTAGAAGTAAGAAAAGCGCCGATTACATCAAAGTTAGACATTGAAATGATATTCTACATGTACTTTTAAATAAATTGATCTTAGATATATGACAGTGAGCCGATTACTTTCGGCCTTGTACAATCAAACTGAAACAATCCCCCAAATTAATTGTCTATCCTCGGGAAAATTTAACGCCTCGCTTGCGTACGGCCATTATTTGTCCAACAAAATTTTCATCAAAGAACAATCTGTTACGAGGAATTCACGGACGATGGTTTTGGAATACTCTGTACGCTCAGGTGCCTGATAGACTGGGGAGAGAATATACATGAGGACGTATTGTATGGTAGGACACTGACGTGACTGGATCTCGGTGGCGGTAAGGTACAAACGACAGAACAAATAGATAGCGAGGAAATGTGTCCGAGAGGAGGAAAACGAGTACGTGCACGATTGAAAAAGGGAGAGAGAAAAAGGGAGGAAACGAGGGTAGGAGGAAGGGAGAGCAATAAGTGCATTGCAAATATCGCTAGTTGTTTGTTCTGTCGATGGCCGGGAAGAAAAGGACCCGCACGATCGACTCCTTCCTCGCGCGTTCCTCTCTTTGCCTGGCCGGCGTTTTCTTTTTAAACGAGTGTGGCAAACGAGTATGTACATAGTCACTGGCAACCAATACCCGGCGCCGAACCGTACTAAGGATATTCCGAGATTCGAATAACGAATCCGGCGTTTATATCGGATTTCGTGCAAATAGTCGTAGCGCGGGTTGCAAGCGGCGGGTAGCAGTGACTCCGCAATTTGCCTCGGGATCACGCAGTTTACTCTCTACTCGCTACTCACTCGGAGAAGCAAGATCCGGCGTGCAAACACACAGGTTTATCTTCTTGGAAATTTACAACCGCGCTTCTCTATCTACCCTGCGAGCTGACCCGGACGAAATATTAAATTGCGATTTTAACCCTCGTTGGATCGCATTATCCGAATCGCCCTCGTGTGTCTGCAGGTTCACGAAGTTCGAAATTTTATGCAGGTCCGCGTTCTCTTCATCAAGATACGCCGTGAAGGATACGTCACACGATAATATAGTTCTCGCGCATCGATACAGTAGATACGCAGAAGTGGATCTGAAAAAACTGCATGCAGTGAAATAGGATTGATTTTTTATAGGATTTTGGTTCGAACTTTTGATCGGATATATCGTCACTAGAACAACTGTAGATTGAATCTGATCCTAGCGCAGTATTTTATACAGTATAAAAGAAAATATGCGGTTTGATTTTTAAATTTGTCTACATTGAGAAAAAAATTATTAAATCTTGATACATATTTCTTTGAATAGCACTAAGTTAAACTTACAATAAACAAATATTTATTCAATAAAAAAAATGTGTTTTGTATATCAAAGAAATATTTACATTTAGTAGATATTTCTTTAAAACTATTCAAACAAATATTTATTAAAATGTAGTATTTTTTTTTAGAGTAATATCTTCTCTAATTTGTCTAATAATTTAATTTTTTTTATTTGTTACAAAGAGTGACAAAAATGTTGAGAAATTTAGTTGACGTTGCTTTCTAATTTGATGGCATGAATTGTAGCGAGCATTTATATTTATTGAATTGATATAAGTCATTGATATAAGTAATTACGTTTGTGAAGGTAAAATAGTTAAGGACTAATTGTATGTGTCATTATGAAGAATAATTGACGGCGAGATTAAAGTGCAAAATCTTGCGTCTAAAATATCATTGTAGATTTTAGAAAATTATCTGAAAGAGAGTCTCATTTAATTAATAGTAGAATCTGTAGAATCTTCATACAGACATTTTGAGCTCTACGCTATCGGATATTTCTAACACGGAATGAGTGCGCCAGAATTCTTAATTAAAGCTGAAAGTCGGAAGTGTCTTCATAGTGATTCAACACGCAAAGCTGATGTGAAAATGAAATCCCGGCCGTATCGTTTTAACATCAAAAAGAGATGATATTTAACAGATCAAAAAAGAGATGGTAAAATTCTCTTAAAATATTGTATAGAATTGCACATGAAAAGAAAAAAGAAACTAAAAAAATCCAATTTTCTCTCCGAGTTTTATAGCTACCTCACAAATTAGAAATAATGCGCAGCAAGAGCCGAGAGATATTTGATTGCTACACGGTTATGATACAACACTCATTTCGAAAAAAAAAAGCCCGTTCATTCCTGTCTATTGTATCGTCGTTATTACTCTACGTAATACACAGCGTCTGTTTTGTTCACAGGGCCGACCCGGCGACAAAGGGCAGAAGGGCGAGCTGGGCAGCCCCGGATTCGACGTCTTGTCCGCAGTAAAGGTATCTAAGCTACGCTATCCTGGCGCAGAGTAAAGCAATATCCGCCGGCGCAGTCGTAATGCGAAAATGCGTGCCGCGCTCTCTCATTTCTCGCCCTGCAGCCCTCCGTCGTCGTCCTTCAGAGCGCAATCTCGTAAAGTCCCGATGTGTACCACGGGAGGAACGTGTGTAGTACCGGCGTGTAGTACCGGCGGGCTGCACGCAGGGCGGAGTGAGAAAGAGATGCGAGAAGAATACGGGATAAATCCTGAAGGGACGGCGGAAGAGGGTGTGCGGGCAGAAGAAGTAAAACGATATTTTCATCGCGCGTAAAGCTGCAAATCCCATTTCACGTGGTAAAAGTGCACTCGAGCTGGAACGTTATTAACGCCTTCTCGATCGCGTCGCCGTGAAGCGTCAAAGGACCGACGATTAATCGAATAAATTACACGGATTTCGTGATTTCAGCCCGAAGAATTTCAGAAATATCTGGGAGCGAATCGAAGGGAAGAAAATTAGTGTCATGCGCAGGGGAAGCTCCGCTTTGGAGCGATCCGAAGTAGAACGAGGACTTTTATATACGAATCCTCCGGGAAATCATATATCCGAAGCTCTCTACGGGTGGTGGCCTAATTCGTCACCGCGTTTATATATACGTGATAATTAAATCTCTCGCGCGAAAACGAGATTTGTAAAATCGTCAAAGCGTCTGAAATAACATTTCGCTCAGCGATCCTCGATCCTATATAAAGGATCTGACGTTTTATTTAACCCATCGCTTTTTTTTTTTTTTTTTTTTTTTTTCTAAGGTCGGGGCTTCCTCATTCCGCTCGAGCGCACTTGCGCGCGCGATTTCTTTCGTATGACACGAAGTGTCATACGACGAGGAGGTATACTGTTCCTCCTGTCGTTGTCGAGTTCGAGGACCTAGCCAGAGTTTCACCCTGGAAGTCGAGCGATGCTCGAGCGATTTCATTCGAGGACGACGATGCATGCACGATGCATTTGTCCGTGCACATGCATATGCATACGCTCGTGTCCAGGGCGAAATCACCGAGGTTCTGCGTCCTCTCGATCCAACGTGCAACAAGCACGCCCGAGTATCGATCGATGCGTTGCCGCACGACGACGAGCATATCACGCACGGAGTCCGCGTGCGATGAAGCACAGACGATCGACGGCTAAATGAAATTTACGATATGAAGATTATACAGTGGCTGCCAAAAGTTTCCGGCCAACATGTAATTTTACGATGATTTTTGTCAATCTTGTTTCGGTTTCAATTATAAGTTAATAAGATTCTTGTTATAATCAATTTAAGAACACAATATTTTACATAAATACTAGGATACGCTGATACTTGTATATACTGGAGCTTTATTTATGAAGATTTTTTATCTAAGCTCTATTCAATAAAATTATTTCCCGGAAATTTTTGGCAGTATATAAAAATATGTATTTTTCTAGGTTTTTATTAAGACAAAATCGATTCCGGAGTAAGCTAAACAGACGCAGTTTTAGATATTAAAGCAGTAATTAGGAAACGATAGTTGATTTCATTTTTGCGATCATATCTAAATTACAAGTTTTGTAAATGAAATTATTCGAAAGTGATATTTTATTTTATGCACTTATTGTACGGAGGAAGGAAATGAGTTTTATTATACAGTAAACATTTGTCATCAATAAATAACGGCAGGATAAAAATAATGGTCCGGAAAAAAATCGCGTCAACTGTTGCGTGCGATTTGTCGTCGTAAAACGTAACTCGTTCACGACGTTTTGCACGTTCGAACGACGTACAACGGAAAACGAACGATCCGTCGCGCGCCATCCGTCAAAATGCAGCGGCAGTGCGGAATTGGTGTGATTGGCTGCGTTCAAGCAGAGATTTGCAGCGCTGTTGTGAAATTCTTTAATATAATTGGTCTTGCCCTTAATTCCTCACTAGATTTAAATATACAAATTACAATCATATTAAAGAATTTTATGACAGTTGCTCTTACAAAAATTTTATACTGGAAGATAGTAATTAATTATATGCTTCCTTTGAGTATTAAAAGCACTGTTGTATAATGTTTTTAGTACTCGAAATAAGTAATTAATTACTGCCTTTCGATGTTAAATTTTTGTATCGACAACTATTATAAAATTAAATTATTAAAAAACTGTTGTATAGTGCTTTTAAGTCTTACAACAGTTGTACAATGCTTTTAATACTAAAAATACATAATTAATTACTTTCCTTCCAGAGAACTAAATTTTTATAAGGACAACTGTTGTAAAATTAAAACCACTGTACTTGTACAGTGCTTTTAATATTAAAAATTAATGAATTAAGTATTACACACGTTCTCTACGTTGGATTTCTATAAGAGTGTAAAGTTAATTTTTTCTGCTGAACGCAGCCATTGTCTTAACCAGACGAAACCCTAGCGCGAGGGAAAAAAATCGCGTCGATCTCTCGCACTGTGCTTCATTCCCGCACGCGGATTCCATCTGTCGTGAAAACAAATTTCATGCAAAAATCTGTTACGCGCTCGCTCGCCGGTCGACCGCCAACAGCCAACGGCAACGCGACATCGCAGTACGAGAGCAAATAAATAAACCTTGCCTTTTTTCTCGCCTACGGGTCAATGCACAGGGATTGGGGTTAAAGAGGTCGGTGACGACGCTCCGCGGCGGGACGCTCGGCTACGCGGAAATCGTCGCCCTCAAGGTAAACCGGCTTCCTCCTCCTCGGAAGGCGCGACACGCTTCTCGGTGTCGCGATCCGGACGGACGTCCTCCAAATCTCCTCAATCGCCTCCCCCCGCTGTTTCTTACCCGTCATCTCGTCATTGTCCAACAACACTGTCGTAGTCGTCGTCGCTTCTTCTCTTCTTCTTTTCACTCCCTGTCCCCACTGTGTCCACTTTTCCCCACCGTCAACCCCTTGTTATACCACCTGTATGTCAGTTTTTTTTTTTTGTGTCCGCGCGTCGTCGCATACATCCCGGATGCGCGACAGGCCGCGGATCTCGTCGTCCAGTTGTTCTTTAGCTAGTCGTTGCCTCGTGCGGTGCTTTCGGTGTAGCGTTCTCTCGTTGGTTTATATGAAACGAAGCGCGTCGTCGATGCTCGATCGTCGAATCGGGGCCTCTCTTTCCTCTGTCGATCATCGATTCCGACTTAATATAATCTCAGAAGGAATTTACTCTTTAATCTTTAGAGGATGGAGATCTATCTTTTAAATCTTACAGTTTTTTCTGAAGATTCGTTATAATTTTATTGTATTTGTTGCTTCGAAATATGATACTATTTTAGCACCTCTATAGTTGGCTTTCCCGTCCTGTAAAGGTTAAAGTGTGCAGAATAATATAATTGCGGGTAAATATGTTGATGCATATCGTGTGATACTTGTGTTATTGATCGTGATCGAACGATAATGAGAGACCACTGAATGAACGACCATCGGCGACGCACTTTTTCACTTTGGTTTTTGGTTGGTAATGGTGTTTACTTTAAGTTACAGTATTTAGGTATATCTCTGGGCATGCCTTGGATTCGGAAGAGCAGTGAGATACGAGAACCCGTATCCTCCCCTACCCACCCCCTGAAAAAAATCGACGTGAACCCCATGCTTTCCGCCCGATACCGAAATCGTTCCCCCCCCCCCCCCTCTCATCCCCCCCCTCCTCCTGTTCTTGTCTTGTAGCGATTTGGTTTTTTACCCGTAGTGTTGACCTACTTTTAGGATCTTCAGGAGAAAGGGGTTAATATCTCAGCGCAGAACATCATACCACTGAAAGTAAGTGCGCCTGCTTTTCGGGAAGTCCCCTTATTTTCCTTCCCTTTTATCGATCCCTCGACGAATGGTGCTCGATTTGAATTTTGCAACAGAACTCTTCGGCGATCTATTTTTAGAAGACGTTCTATTTCGAAACATTTTATCAATTTAAATGTATCACACAAATTGTTACTCAATATTTCCGTAAAATCGTTCTGCATTATTTTTTGGGCATTAAATTTTTTAAGTTGCGTCGCTATATATATAGTTCGATAAGTTAGTAACTTTTTAAAAAGAGATGTTGACAAATAAATTAAATTTTTATTTTAAAAAGTTAGAAAAGTCACTGATTTATTAAATTGCTCTCGCATTTGAAAGTAGGGAAAGAAATAAAAAAAGGGGGGTGGGGGCGAGAAAGAAATATTGCAGATTAACTTGAATATTTTCAGAACTTATCTTTTGTTTATTCATACTTTCTCGAGGACGCTTAAACACCACCAGATCATTCTAAATTCGCTGGTGAAAGTAGAAGATGCCCCGCTGAAACGAGCTGTCGCGTTGGAAAGAAGTTACAAAAGTTTGCTCACCTCGGAGGAATCCCGGGGCGATTTAATTCCCCCTTTCTCCGAGATTGCAAACTTAGTTCTCGCTCGCCGTCGCGACAACCGGAAGTTGTCGAGGAGGGTTTATTTATCGGTCGGATAACCGATACCGAGCAGCGCTGTATATATCCGTCCTTTAATCACGTAGTGGAATTTTGTCGCGGTCGGACGCGGCTTCACGCTGAGCACCGTTTGTCCGAGGGAACGAACGAGGAGGCGCGAACACGGCGGAAGGAAGTTTCGAGTAGTTGTAACTCGGAAGATCGCACAACGATCGAGTCGGAATCATCCCGCTGTGTTCGCGCCATATCGACATGCGCGAGGTTCGCTGGACCCCTTACTACATATACCCTTTTATTTTACGGTTCGATACCTCCGTTCTTACGCCCCATCTTCCTCTCTCTTTCTCTCTACTCTACTCTCTCTATCGGGGGTCGTGTACAAGTTACTGCGTGCCTCGTATATACCATTTCTTGATAATCGATTGTCTCGATACGCGAAAAGAAAGACCGTACGAAGATCCACGAAGGAAAGCCACCGCGCCTTGCCTCGCGATATTCCATCTCTCGGGCGAATGCAAATCCTATCGCGAAAGGTAGAGACAGCCTCTCGGCTCAGCTTTGGCTGCTGCGTTGCTGCTTGTCGAATTCGTATTCCTCGAAAGATCGGAGACGCGCGGTCGGTGGTGGAGTGCCAGCAGTGCGATATCCTATACTCTTTCAGAGTAAGAGATGGAACCGGTTCCCCTCCCCGCACGTTTCGTACATCCGCTCCGTGGTGTAGTGCTTTGACTCGGCGCGACGACGGCCGGCTTCCACCAACGCCGTTCGGGTCTCAAAGGGGATATCGTCCCGTCGCTCGAGATGTATCGCTTTATCAAATTCCGAAGGTGGAAGATTTTTAGAATTACGGTTTCACAACGTAGAATTTTTCAGAGTCAAATTTACAGTCGAAGAATTTTCAGATATTCGACTATTCCGGCAAAAGAATTTTCAACTTGAATTTCACGATGAAAGAGATCGGATCTGAATTTTGCAATTTTTCGCTTACATTTTGTCTTGATGTCCGTGATAAAACTTTGCATTAATTAAATTGTATATCTTTATCGCAACGCTATATGACATATGCATATCAAATAATAAATAAAACTTGAAAGAATGACAGGATTTTGATAAAATAAAATATTAACGATAACAAATTTTTTTAATTTATCTGATGGAACATTCAAAAATTTTTTTTATCAATAATGCATATATTTGTCGAAAAAATCTTCACGATGAGTTTGCAACAAAGACAATCTTTCGCTTAAAGTTTATCCATGATGTCTGCGATAAATGTTTGCTATAATCAAATTATTAATTTTTATCGCAACTTCATATACATATAAAATAAAAAGTAAACCTTGAACATAACAGAAATAAAGTATTGATGATGCTTTTTAGTTTGCTAAAATATTCACAATTATCAGTAATATTTTTCGAATAAACCTTCATGATTGAGTTTGATTTTGCATTCGACACAACACGTGCAGGCAAGGGTGTCAATACTGAAAGAAAAACACACGCGAGGGAAAAAAAAAAGCATTCGAAATTCACGAACGCCTCCGCGAGAGGGAATTTTACGCGAGAAGCGCGGATTACGTGGTCGCGTAGCCGCGAAAAAATCCCGGCGGGAAACGTGCGCGCGAGGGAAAAAAAGGGGGAGGGAAGAGGGAAGCAAAAAAAAACGGAAACGTGGCAGCGGTGCACATAAGGCGCGAGTAAAAAATGCACGACCCCGCCACACCCGTCCCGCATGCCGATGCGAAAATCGCACACGCGCCCGTACACATTGGGCGCGTGCGTGCGTGCATTGCATGATACTACTTTGTAACATCTGCAGTCTATCCTATTCTCTCTATGGCGTAGTGCGATGCGTGTGTGTGTGTGTGTGTGTGTGTGCGTGCTACCCACCTACGGGTGTGCATCCACCCGCTGGATGAATGCGCGGGCGATTTATAGCGCGTAGGTGGTATCCGTAGACTTGCCTGTGATCGTATCGCAGTCGCATGATCGCACGATGATGGTGTATTGATGTAGCTGTCGGGAATGAATAAGTAATTGCTGATTCTCCGGCGGGCGTTGGTCAACCGAAACCCGAATATATAATGTATACTCGTGAGACGATTATCGTGATACATCGGATCGATTGTTTGTTACTAAAAAGGGGTGACGTTAAAGGAAAAGAAAATCAGAGGCAGTTGCACCGAAAGTCTATTTGAGAGAGTAAATCTTATTTCGAGAACGCTGCTTCACAGAAAGTGTATCTGCTGCTCTAAAAGAGAAACGCGTCTGACCTATTTCAATATATAGTTGCAATGCGGACGCGATCGCGAGTATCGATAGAGATGCTTTTGAAGATACGAGCGCGTTGTAATATATTTACGTGGAAATAGACGAGAATGCTTGACACAATGAATATGATAAAGCATAAAGGTAATGGAAATAATAAACGACAATAGCACAACCGCGAAATATTGGCAGGGGTGGTTAGCCATAATGAGCTAAATTTCCTTTCTCTCTAGCGATGCTACGACTAGAACTACGTTCGGGAATTCAATAATGAAACGCTAACCATAGTTAACTATTCTGTTAAAGAACCCCATTACGTCTAATTGTAAGTATTCATGGGATGCGAGAAGTTTGTCGTTTTTCATGCTTCCACTCCTTTTTCGCAGAAGATTCCGCAGAAGCAAAGTAAAATGAAATAGTCTAAGCTGATTTAATTAGTCGTATCAAAGTCTCCATCGTGTAACTTGATTTTTATTATATTTGAATCAAACAAAAGGATTTTATTCGACTAAATTTTTCTTAAAATATAAATAGCATGCCGTCGTTCCTTTACTTAAAAAGTGACGCAATTCGAAAAATTAAGTTTCCCAGAAGAGTGGAAAAATATTTTTCAATTTGACAAAAAATTATTAATTAATCGAATATTATCGACATATGTATTTTTAATATGATTAAATATCTTTTTTGTCATTTTTATTTCACAACTCTTAAAAATCGCACTCTTTTTGACGATTTAAAAAAAATCCTTTTCGAGTTGTAATGATTTTTTACAAAGTTAAGTTAGTTGATGTGATTAGGTAATATTCATTTAAGGTGTATTACATATATTTTTAACAAGGTGAACAGATTTTTTTGTATTTTATTTGAAAGTAATTCAAAAAAATATGGCGGCGATTTAGAATCTGGATGATCTGGATCAAATTATATATTATATCAATTATATATTATAAATTTATACAATTATAAATTATAATTCTGATACATTCGTAACTTATTCGAGGTAATAATTGAAAAAAATCACGTTTTTTTTTAATTGTGTCACTTTTAAAGTAAAAGAGCGACATTTATATAATTTGCTAATTTTTCCATAACAACGAAGACATTTAATTATTTTAAAATATGACAGAACTTTCACATTTGTCTTCTCATATGAATATTCTTGCATGAGTATTCAAATCTATTGTTTGATTACGGCTCTCGGTGCCTCAGGCCTCTCTATCGATTCCGGCGTATGCGCGGGAGAGAAATGAAAAAATAGGCTGCGCCGAAGAATTATTCAGTCCTTTCTCTCTTTTTTGTCAACCATGAAACATGTTGCCCTCACGGAAAACACTCGCGACGACCGCGTATATCTCCGAAAACGCGTCTCGACGGGCTATTCCGGGTTGAGTTTTCATCCGCGGGGCACCTGCGCCCTCGGGTGCAGATATATGTGTATACGTAGTACGTGCGTGTACGATACGTCTGGCGCATGCATGCCGCGTGTCGTAGACTTCTCTAAACGTTGCGTTGCTCGTACATTTCTGTCTGCCTGGGCATATTGTGCGTGTATGTGGTGTCCCGCTGTAACGCACCGAACGACGATTCATCGTTATTTGTCTCGGCCATCATCCAGGCTCTCGCGATTGCATGCATGTGTATGCGCTCAGTGTGGTCGAGTCGCGGCGCGTTATCGCGCACGTATCGTCTTTCCCGCGTTCAGCGCGTTGTCTCTCGCGAACGCATATAAACACGTGTTCTCCGCGCGCATTTGCCACGGGGGTGCGCGGGGTGGTTGCTCTCGGCCCCCGCTGATGTGTCTCTCCGGTCGTGACAGAAATTAATTGCTCACTCGTATATACGCGAGTTGTCTCATCTCGCCGCTGGAAAATGCTGTTTCAATAGCTGGGCCTTCGACGAACCGCGCGGCATTCATCGTTCCCGAATGCGTTTGATGAAGGGTCTAATTAATATTTGACCCGAGCAGAGAGCACGCGTAGTATTTCGCATATGACACGTGCTGACAGCGATATTTTTCGTATCGTCATACACGCGCACAAGTATTAATTATTAAAAATAAAATTCTGATCTTCTCCGGTAATTTTAGTGGAATTTTAATTCGATAGGAATTCAAAAATATTTATGATTTTATTATCGGGATGTTTAATTTTGCAAAAAAATTGACAAAGATATTCGCTTGTTGAGTTTCTCTCCGATAATGATGAAACAAGAATTAATTAAACGTTTTTACAAAAATCTCATTAGTTAAAACTACTACTTAAAAGTATAATCAAAAACTTATCTCTCTCTTTCTCTCTCTCTCACCTCACCAGCTCTGGCTTTTTCTGTTTCATTAAATTACTTTACTTCGAATAAGTGCCAATAACTGCAGAAGGAAAGATAAAACTTGTTCGCTCAAAGATATTTCAAAATTACCTTCGAACTTATCGTACAACGATTTGAACTCCGGACAATGGACACTGTCTTTTAACGGCTTCTGTTACATCGAAAACTTTTCTACATTACGTCGAAAACGATCGCGTGAAGGTATATCTATGGAAAAAAGAAATAATCTTAAAGACCACCACGAAGATATTTTTCCACGACATCCGGTTACACCTTCATGTATCTTTGGGCATCTTCTTACAAGGGGGATAATGAAAAATTCTCGCGCTAAACGAAAACTCTTCATCCGCCCTTTCGCGCCGTCGAAACAGCACGTGTAGTAATACGGTAACACGATAAAAGGTCCATTTCGTAATTCGCTGTAGTTACTCGCCGCATCGTGAAACCATAAATCCGCGCGAAGAGCAACCCCGTACCCCCCCGTTCGCGCGCGCGCGCAGAGATCTTTCTCGTTTCCATGCACTGTTCTCTCGCGAGTTCTCCTTTTTCCTGCGTCCACCCGCCAGTCCACATACCTCCCTCTTCTCTGTCTCTCTGTCTCTCTCTCTCTCTCTCTCTTTTTTCTCTCCACTCTTTACTAACTTCGTCTGTGCCCCTCTCTCTCTCTCTCTCTTTCTCTCTTTTGCTCTGTCTATCTTTCGTTCTCTCGCTTTCCTATTTACTTCTTTTTACTGTTCCGCCATCCTGCCCCCCCCCCCCTTCTTCTCTCTCTTCCCCTTGTCGATCCCCCGTCAGTCCGTGGCACAAACCGACGAGTACCGAGAGACACTCTTGTGTCGAGGGCTCTCGCCGGAGAGAAAAGCCGTAACGACGTAACGCTCTTGGGACGTAACAGGGAGAGCCGGGTGAACCCGGGCCGCCGGGACCACCCGGTCCGCCAGGAGCCGAGGGTCTTCCTGGACATGAGGGCAGACAGGGGATTCCGGGCGAGGTCGGCGCACCAGGGGAGAAGGGCCCGCCCGGGCCGATCGGGCCCATCGGCCCGACGGGCACGCCAGGACTTGCGGGTCCCAAGGTAAGTCGGACAGATTTAATCCACGTTTTATCTCTGGTTACTACACGTCGACCATCCTCGTCTACTCGGACATCGAGATATCAAATGTCACCTATTTCCGTAAATTTAAAGAGCTTTTCTCGATCCTCCTTTTTATGTCGTGACAGGTGCTTCCCATCGTGAAAGGAGTGAAAATAGCGTTCTTTCTCTCTTAGCAAAGAATGCACTAACGTTAAAGAGAACGGAGGAGTATAAGTGACCTATTTAAAAGATTCTTTCAATATTATTTTTTTAAAATATATTAAAACGTTATAAAAATATTCCGTGGAGAATTTTTGAAAAGTTTTATTGGAATTTATAAATTTCATTTGCGCTTTTTTTTTGCGCGTAATATATAGATAATTTCTAAACATATTCAAAAAGTTGTTACGGAATTAATTATATACGAAGTTGAGCTGGAAAGATAATTAAAAAACTAAAATTATATCTCTCAAATGATAAATTAATTCTCATTAATATTAATTAAAAATGTATTAAAAGGATTTGTAATTATTCCGGCATTAAAGAAATAGAGACAAAGAGCAAAAAGTATATTGTTGCAAAATGTGGATTCTCGCGTGAACGTGATATATTCACAAGATAATATAAATAAATTTTATTTTCATATAAATATGTTGCGTCATATCATTGTATAAATTATCTCCATTCCCGATTTGTCGATAGCTAGATTGATAATACTGGCGTTTAACTGGAATTAAACTTAACTTTATTTACGCGAATGATATTATAAAGCGCGATTTCACGCATAATCGCGGGCTCGCGTATTTCGAAATATCAAACATCTGATACCGCGGATTCAAAATTCCGCAGAGAGTGATTTAATATTACGGATGTATCACCGCAGGTAACCACGTTATACCGTGGAATTATGTAATGATTACGGGCCGCGTGCTTTCAAGTACGTGGTTTGAAACAAATCCGGCTAATCTCATGGGATTTTGAATTTCTCTCAAATTTCAACGGCGTCTCAATTTCGCTTAATAACGGGCGATAAACCGTTCAATCTACATATTTAGCGCAAAGACGAGAAGAGAATATGCACTGTTTTTCGTGTTCTTTGAAATTTTTTTTCACATGTAAAAGCTAGCAAGCTCGTACGTAGCTGCCTGTCGTTCGAAAAAAAAGCGCAACGTAGATATTACGCTCTTAATATTGCCATTCAAGAGGTTACGTAACCGATAATTATTAATGGAGTACAACAGAGCGATTACAGAACAATGGAGTATTAATTACGTCCGGCGCATTGTTAATTTAATCCAACTATAATTAATTACATTCGAAAGCACGTTCCTGCATATTAATTACTGACGCTTGATACTGCCACGATAAAGGATCATCAAATTCTATCCATTTAGGAAAGTGTTCTTTTAATTAACCTGTCGTATGCGTTGGACAGAATTGCCGTGGAAAAAGAAACGTGATAATTTCATTTTCAGAAAATAATTGTTGTAACGAAGCGAGAAATATGAGAGTGGAGTTGCGTGAATGTGGAATAATTATCGAAAAATCATCGAAAGTTTATTTTCGACAGGGTGACAAGGGTGATAAAGGCGATCGGGGCTTCACGACGACCTTAAAGGGTGAGCAGTTTCCAAGTGGAGTATTTGAAGGCCCACCTGGTCCACCAGGACCACCTGGTAAGCATACAAACGAGATAATCTGCATACGAAATAAATGATTAAACATTACACGTCAATTGCATTCCCGTGAGGAATACGAGAACACATCACGGTAACTCTCTGCGAATCTTCTATGCAAATTATTTATTTCGTTAGCATTTCATTTGAATCTGATATCGTAGCTTTTCTAATTATATCAGGAAATCATACACGGAGCTAGACATTATTTTTTTTTTTTTCCTTTTGCGTCGTTTATTTTTCATTTCCTCGACAGTACTTTACATTTCAATTAATACGTTTGTTTTATTAAATTAAAATTTTTTTCATATCGTTTATTAAAATTAATATTTTCCACATCATTATTTTAATAATATTATTTAATGCTATAATCTTCCACTTAATAATTTTCTAACGGATTCTTTTGACGGGCAGGGCGCGATTGATAGAAATCATTAGTATCGTGATCCACGAGAGAATTAAGTCGGTCACGCGCGATAATTCGGAATCGGAACGCGATGTGGCATTCATCCGATTATCTTCGCGCGCCGGCGTGACCTCGCGGGCGAAGAAAAGGCGGAAATGTTTGACGAGGAAATCTTGACTTGGATGACCGTGCAGGTTCCTCTCAAGAGGAGATCGAGAAGCGATCGCGCACGGTGGGCGTATATACGTGCTGTGTCTCGCCGGCGTAGTAATATATGCGGCCGTGAGCAAATCTTTCTTTGCCATTCGCGCGAGCCTCCTTTTTTTCTCTACCGCCACTCGTCCCGTGCGGATCGGACGTTAACCCTTCGGAAGTTGAGCGTCCTCGAGGAGCACCGAAAAACTGCGCACACATTCGTGTACATGAGGCCTGTTCGTTTTGGCTGAACTTTCGCATCAGTTTATTTTTCTTCCTTTTCTATGCGGGAGGAAAGAAGAGGAAGAAAGATGAACTGGTGCAAAAGTTCAGCCAAAAAGAACAGGCCTATGGTGGTATCTCGCGAAATTCGTAGAGGAAAAGGCGGTAATGTGACCCTCCATTTTTGTTTTTCTGTGTAGTTTTCGTATCTTTTAATTATATTCAAATCAATCGTGTTGCAGATAATTTATTGATCTGAGTTTAATAAAAATATACTTGGAATGATTAAGATAATTTATAAAATGGAAAAAATTGTTTAAATGAAAGAGACATTATGATGTGACTATATCTGTGATGGTAAAGTGGGTCTTTTTCTATAGAATCTACTTTCTTCAGGTTTTTTAGAACTTTCCATGAAATCCAAATAATTTAATCTCGTAGAAAATTCTAAACTTATTGTGAGATATTATCAGATTTAGAAATTTCTTATCATAAATACGTTCTCCTAACAATACTTTTGCGTTGATCCTGTCGACAAAAAGTTCTCGCCAATCATGGCAATAATATTTTTCACGTTTCGATACCCATCCTAAGAATAAGTTAGAAACCTTTTGCAAGAGTTGGTTAATTATAATAGAATTTTAAGTAGGACTCATGTTGGAAGCAGGAGTGACATAATCACCTTTTCCTTTACTTCGGTGAAAATAATCTTATAAAAAAGAAGACGCAATTACAAGAAAAAATTCCATAATAAAAGAAAAATAATTAGATGTCATCGTTACTTGAGCACGTTAAAGTATTACAGTACAACATTACTGCCAAGCCAGGATTATATAATTTTAAAGTAAATAGGACGTGACGAAAGAGGTTTTAAAAAATTCACAAGTCTTATAACTTCATAGAAAATTAAATTAACTTTATAATATATACAATTTTTCGTTGAACTGAGATGTTTAGTAAACGTTAACGTTATATAAAGATGCAACCGACGTAGAATTTTCATGAAACATTCGCCGAGAAAAAATTCGCTTCTAAGTGTAACCGAGAAATCTGTAGCCTCTGGGAGCCGTCACGACAATTCTAAGATACTCTGTGTAAAAGATTCAGCCCTGTTTAAAATTACAAGACAGGAGACACCACGCGCAACGCTTCTCGTGAATAGTACAGAGGGTAATAAATGCGCAGTCCTGAGGCGCGGCGAGAACGGAAGCTGGGGAATATCTCGTCGCGTAAAGACGAGCGCGACTGTCGGCTTAAAAAATTCCGACCCACCTCTCGCGCCAATATCTCACGACTCGGTCGTTCGTCAACGTTCGTACGGCCCACCCCTGCCGTACCGCGCGACGGCGAGAAAATGATTTACGATCGCGGACGTATTCAGAATCCGATCTCGCTACTCGTAAACGACCGTTTACAGCGCGCCGTGTTGACCGTGATATGTCGGATATTGGCAAAAGCGTCGCGAGTATCAGTTACCTGCCTCGCGACATGATTGATTCGCGAGAGAAACACCGTGATTATAATTGAGTGAGAACCGTCAGGAAAATAGGAAACACCGAAACAGTTTTAAGCGCTCGTTACGAAACCTGTAACTAGTTTAAAGAGACGATTGGAAAACCAATCATTGAAAATTTATGCAATTTATTTATGAAATTGCGAACATACAGTTCGAAAATAAGTTGATTCGATTCGAATGGAATTAATCTGCTTCACAAAAAGAAATAATTAGATCATATCTTGAGATAAAATCTTTTATTCCAATCAAGAATAAACTGAAGGTAAAGATCTCAAAAGGGATTTAGCAGAAAGACCGGATTTAAAGTCCTCTTTTTTTTTCTTGTAGACTTTGTGAATTTTAGATGAAAGCTTTACGTCAATTTATCTTCGTCTGTGCAGGAAAATAATCTAGCGTTGATAAGATAGCTCCGATATGATCGTGTCGAAGACAACGTCGTGAAAAGCGCGGCTAACAACTATGCGAGTCCAATGCATTCGACAGAAACGAAATTACGCGAACGCTAATCCGTCTTTATACCGTTGTACGATGACAGCAGAGAACCAAGGATGGGGTAACAACGTTTCCGAGCATTATACATGCGCACCTGACAGAATTAATTTAGCCACATACAAATCCGTCTCGCAATTTCATGGCACGAACTGCAACAAGCAGCGGAGAAACTCGCTACTGTCGATATTGTACAAAGTCGTATTTTAGAATCAACGGTGCGCGCTACGCGGTGTATTTACTCTGTACGGTGCGATTCGCTCGCGCGATCCTCGAATTTCGTTTTGTGCACGTGGGAATTTTTGCGCACACACACACACACACAGAGTTGCCATTTCGTGACTTTATAGTATAAATAACACCTAGAAAAGGTAGCTCGCGCGTTAAAACAAGTAGCACGCGCAAGTTAACAGTTTATGTGTTTCGCGATATTAATCACTAAAGGAAGATAAGCAAATTTCAAAGAAGTTTTCTTATAAAAGAAAATATAATATCAATTTATTTAACTTTGTATCAATTTGAAAACAAATTTCATATAGAGACGAAATATTCTCTAATTTTTATATCAGTATTAAAGAAGTTGTGACAAATGTCATTCTATTACTGGCGAGCAAATGAAAGAAAATCCTATTATGCAGATATAGAAGTTCTTTTGCCGTGTGACAGAACAACATTGATCGTTTTCGTTGCGAGAATATATTGCTGTCAGTTCTATCTGAGAACCGTAGATAAATCAAAAGATAGTCGATAAAAAAGTAACGATCAAGCACGTCACTGCAAATGAAGTGTTAATCTGTACGACGCTTGACAGACCGCAGTTTTCAATTCTTACACGAGAAGAACGATTTTACTGAAGTATGAAAAATTCAGCCATATTGAAAAAAATTACTAAATTTTAATAAATGTTTGTTCGATTAATGTTAATGTATTTATATTTACTTGTACAAGAATCATTAATTTGATTTAGCTATCAATTTGCTATTAAATAAATATTTATTTCCTGTAAGTAAAAGTTAATGTGCTATTGAAAAATTATATATTAAGATTTAATAAATTTTATCTTTTTAAAATTTTATTTGAACTATCGAAATAATTATGTAGGGCGCTCAAACTAATTGCTAGAATGTTAAAACTTTTTGCAACATTGTCATCCACGCTTAAGTCTTCTACATAACTCTTTTGATGGTCCAACAAAATTATCTTCAGATTTGTATCTTACAGCTGAATTGCTAGATACTTGAGCAAAATCATTTTCTTACGTGTAAATTGCTCAATCCTTTGATCGTGTTACATTCGGGTTTACATTGTAACGTTTCAACCGAACGCGTTACCTGTCGCAAAATTTCTTCGCACAATTTGTTTTATTCCAAAATCGCCGCGAGCGCCGCGTTCTTTCGGTCCATATCTACTTCCGTAAAGCTCGATCACGCGATCCGTCGTGAAACGCCGCTTGGCGTTCGATCACTCGAAGATTCTCTCTTCGAAAAATGGAAATTCCGCGCTGCTCGTTCGCGTGCGTGCGTGCGGACGAGCCAGCGTGGTGTGCGGGCACCATGTCTCATCTTATCCACGGCACGCAGGGTCTCCGGGCGAGAAGGGAGAACTGGGCCCGACAGGACCGCCCGGCCTACCCGGCGAGAAGGGTACTCGGGGAAAGCAAGGGAAGAGGGTAAGCTTCAGCGAGGTCCTCCGACCGCCGCCGACCATCGACCAAAGCAACCCCGTATGACCATCCATCCACCCCATCCCTACTCAGCCATCCATCCATCCGACCGATCCTGTTATCCGTTGATTGAATCCGAACGTAGCAGGAAGCAGAAACAAATTAAAAGAAGAAAAAAAAAAGAAAGAAAGGGATGGTCCATCCAATCTGTTCCCTTGATACCCTCTTGAACCTTCCCGTTGCATCCTGCGTCCCGCATGGTATATGCATGTTTTTGCATGATAGCAAAAGTATATCGAACACTCACATCCCTCGGACGCTGATAACCGCATGCTTCTTGACTTGGGTTGTGTCACCATTTTAGATCTCTCTTATGTACGTAGCATGACGTAACCGTAGTTTTCTTCCGCGTGGGATTCAATCTGTTTTTTTTTTTTTTTTACAACGTGTCACAACACATGCCTCTCCAGTCTGAATCTATATGTAGATATATATAGATCGAGTGTTTAGCGTCAGCAAAATTTCCGCCACATGGCCTTAGAGATTGCCTGATTCGATATTCCCGATTACGTCGCTCTTAATGCCGCGTTGGAGAAACGGATCTTCTCGTAAAGCACTGCGTTTATATATATATATATCGGTTTTATCATATTTCGTTTGCTTGCTCGTACCTCAATTCTAATCAATCTAATTTAGGAATTCAGCAAAACATTAATCATCCTTCGATTTTTGCCTGATAAATTTCAGCATTAATGATTTCGGTAGATTTAAATATGGAATTGCATTTGACTCGTCTAAAGATTTCAATCATCAATCTTCTATTTTTTTGCCGATTAAATTCTCCGCGGTACTCCGAAGAGAACAAACGCCGTAATTCTGCCTTCTGCGCGAAAAATGTGTGACTTTTTTTTTAATCCATTTTCGCTCCTTTTCGCCTTCTTGGTTTCTTTCGCCCTACTTTCGAGCATCGCCGACGTCTCGAGCTTTTCCCGCGGAATATTAGATTTTGTAATCTTCGAGATCTCTCTCTGGTTCCGAAAACGAGCGACTCCGCTCGCGCTGCGAGACGCTTCGAGCCGCAAGCACGACGCGCGTGCACAGCACGGCACGGCACGGCACTCTTCACGCAGTCACGCGAGCATGAGCACGTACGTCACTCCGTCACAATTTGCATCGTCGAATAAACTGCAGCCGAACAGCATTGTCACTTGGTTACGGTTACGGGCAGAGGGAAGTTCCTCGCTGTGAGGCGATTTGTAATCTCGCTTCGCGAAGATGTTTACACCCTCGACGGAGTCGTGGTTACGCGACACGAAGAAACGGCGTTTTAAAGAAACCGGAAACGAATCTCCTTCATTTGATTCTATGTCTAGAATTTGAATTCCGTGTAAAAAATGCGATTGATCCCATGATGTTTACTATCTGGAAAAATTTGGAAAACCTACAATTTTCAGATTTCTTTTTTATTCTTACAGATCAGAGAGTTTCATAGAATTTTATCGGGGAAATTTTTTTAATTTAATCTTTAAATTTTTAATTTCTGTATTTTTCTGAAAATATAGTTTTTTTGCAAACACTTTTTGCTTGATAATGCAAAATGTTGACATTAGCAATAAATCATTCGCGTATATTCACGTACATCTTCGCGAGTTTTTATTTAAAAAATCAGAATAAAAATAGAAGACAATATTCAACAGAAGAAAATAGTGAATGAATCCTTGTTATCGTATAGATTTCGCGGCAATTGTAGAAAATAATAGATATAGTCTCGTACACTGTTAGAAATGTAACCACGAGCTTCCTTTACATGTAAATGAAGCTGGTGGTTATGAACGAAATTAAAAGTAATGAATGATTTAACTGAAAATTAAGTTACAGTAGTTACTTAAATGTAATGAACGTGTACTTTTAATAAAATTTTATGAAAAGTACATTAAATTTCATAAATTTTCATGAAAAATACATTAAATTTTATGTACATGTACATAAATATACTTTTTAGTTACAAATACATTAAATTTAATGTAATGTCATGAAATTAAATTCAAATTCAATTCAATTATGTAACTTAAAAGTTAATGAAATTTAAGAACATCTCTAACAGTGTAGAATCTTCTACTAATTTTCAATACATAGTTAATTTGCTTACACTCTAATTTATTTCAAAGTTGCATTAAAACATTCTCTAACCTGGAATTTTAAATAAAGATATCTGGAAAATCCGGGAATTCTCAGGGAATTTTTCCACAAGACTTCAGTAAACATCCTGTTGATCAATTAATTCCTCTTATTTGAGTGATTACAACGCAATTGCAGTGTATTTACAATGTAGCAACTGCGACAGTTTTTAAATGCGGTCGCACGCACATATATTCGATTCCTATCGAATCAAGTAACATTGAATTTGAAATTTACACATTCATAAACTGACCACAGAATATTTCATGTGTTTTTTGTTATTCGGCAACATATTGTTACAGATATATCGCTCTTGTCGCTATTCGGTTCGCGAAACCGCATATGTATATTTTTTTTACACACGATATTTTCTCGCGCCTCCTTCGGGAACTTTCCTCGCCCATCCGTGTCCATCTTTGGAATTGCATACGTACCTCGAGCGACTGCTGGGACTCATCTGTCCCATAAAAAAAAATGCGAAAAAAATAACGACATGGAAAGTGAAAAAAAAAAGTAGAATAGTGTAAGCAGGAACGGGAAAAGAAAGCAGATAGGAAAAAAAGAAACGTTGGTAGCAGCAAATAACACGTATCCATATTGTGATATCCGAGGCTTCACCTCGGATTCTCCCTCTTCTCAACCCCCTAATTCTTTCTTTTTCTCTCTTTCTCTCCTTATTTCTTTTTCTCGTATTTTTACCTCTCGCGCGAACGTCGAGACGTCGATCGTCTCCACGCATTCGCGCTCATCACCACCGGCACCATTCGCGAACCGCAGACTGTGAGCTGGCAAACAAACAAGCAAGCAAGCGAGCGAACGAACAGGGGTGGCGGGCTTAAAGCGCTCTCCTTCCGGCCGAATTACACGCCTACGCGCCTAACACCTGTAAACTAGCGCGCCTAAGAGCTTGGCGTGCGACCGTACCACTCTTTCGGGTCCATCGTAAGTATACTCGTAGATCTGCCGAGCGATCGTAACTTTTCCGATGGCTATTGCAAACGGCGACCACGCGCGGCGCATCCTCCGCAAACGTTTGTATTTTTTCCGCGAATGACAGCATCTCTAGAATTAAGAACGCGCGACGCATTTTAATTGTACAAAGATCAAATGAAAGTTTCTTAACACGTATACTCTCGTTAATTGATCCATTGTTACAACATGTGACTTCCTGAACGCTCGTGATTGTGTCAAAAATTAACGAAACGCTTTGAAATGATTGCTCTGACCGTAGGTGACCACCGGGGTATTTAACGTGTTTGAAATTGTCAACCGAAACGTGATTCGAAATGTGATTTTATTGATGAAATTTATTGCTCTGGTTTTGGAAGGAATATTAGTTTCTTAAGGTTTCTCTTTCTATATCAAGCTGAAATGCGGTTGTGGTTTAACATAATTTTTAGGCAATCTCAGCATAGCATAAAAGTAGAAACTTAATATTTTCTCGAAAAAAAAGAAATTAATTAAAATTAAATATAATATATCAATGGAAATTAAATTAAAATTAAATTGAATTAATGACAATGAAAAATGGGATTTGTTATAATTGATAAAAAAAAATACAATTCTATTCATTTTTTTTATTCTTAGCTTTTATTATACGTCAACATTTCGCACTATAATATTTTAGAATATATGTAATACATTTTTTGCTAATTTAAATATAACGATTGAAAATTACGTCTGGGGGAGTACTATATAAATACGTAAAAATTTTCTGTGAAATAATTATACTTGTACACACAATAAACGATTGTTTTAATAAAATCAAATTTCATATAAATTAACGATATCAAATCGTTTAAACACGTTCATCATTTTATATACATTTAATACACAAATATATGTTTCTCTAATATATTAAAGTTCATCTGTTTGTTTCATATTTACGACAGAAAAGTGCTCCGTCCTATTTAGAAATTATTAAATTCTCTGTAATTCTATGTATTTTATTTTGTGGAATTACAACGGGCCATTTTTTGTAATAAAATGGCTAGTGAACGAGTATACTTTTGACAGCGAATTTTACAACGTGTAATGCTAAAAGCATGACAAATTTTAAACTAATGAGTAAAAAAAATACATACACGAGTTTCACATCTTCCAATGAAAAAACACATTTTTTTTCAGATATATAGGACTATATTGAATTAAGATGCAACGAGAGATTAAAAATAGCTCTTATTAAGTTTTGGTTGAGGAAAAATTAAGCAAGAATATTGAAATTTGCATAAATACACCATGTTCGTGTTCAATTTTTCGAAATATTCCCTAATCGTCCCAAATTTTTTATTAATATTATATTCATAAAGTCAGTCTTAAAAAAAACATTATTCCTTTTACTTACACCTTTTTGAGCATAAATCTGTCCCTTTAATGTCTTCCTTTCTATTGTAAGAAGAATCGTTCTCTTAATGTAATTGCCATCACATTTCGCGATTTCTTTTCCGCGACTATGGTGCAGAATAATTTTGCAAGTAAATGGAAATATATAATGCATTTGCAGAAAATGCGATTAAATGCGAAATTTACACGAATCTTGTAATCCGGTTTTTACAGACACGGTTTCAGACACTGAGAATTACCCTTCGGAGCAACTTCGGCAGTTCCGCTGCAGTTTCGCGGTCGAACCACGACGGTAAACTCGCGGATACACGTGTCCGCTCGCGATACTTACCTTCGGCTCACCGATCCGTAAAATTCGCCATTCGACCACAAAGCAAGCTCGCTCGCAACTTCGCCCGTCCACTCGATTTGCTTCTCTAACGAGATGCGAAACTGGGATGCTTGCTCCGGATGCGCTGCGTGCGTCCCGATTGCAAAGCCGCGGCCAAGTGTACGTTTAACTACAGATAACGTACACGGAGTACGCCAATTTGTTCAAAAATATCTTGGAGACGGATCCTTGGGCATTGATCTCTTTTGAAAGTATCATAGCTTTATTTTTACGGAAGGTCTCACTTATTTTTCATCAGATTTAAATTTGCCTGCAAAATTTAATTCCATATTCTCTCTATAACGTTCGACAATTATAATTACTACATTATTTATATTACTAGAGTTTAAAAATTTTTAATTTAAAATTTTCAGCCATACACTGAAGAAAAATTAAATTTTAATAAATATTTGTGTGAATAGTTCCAAGTAAATATTTACTAAATGCAAATATATATTTATTTACAAAACCATTAATTTAATTTAACTGTCATTTTTTTTTTATCGAGTAAATTTTACTGTAAATATTTATATCGTACTGTTCAAACAGGTATATATTAAAATTTAATAAATTTGTTTCAGTATAAAGAAGCTAATATATAATTGTCTTCGATATTTTTGTCAAGGAAAAATGGACTTCCAAATTCGTCGAAAGATCTCTAAGGTATTTTTGAGTGGACTATGTATATAGATGTCCACGGCATTCGCCACTGTTGTTTTTAGGATGACGGAGGCGATATCGAGCGCTTTTAATAGCGTGCGTGTGAGTGTGTGCGTGTGTATATGTACAGTTAGTGAGTAGTGATCCTCGGCGTGTAGTGTACGTAGCTTGTGTAACTAATTTGTGTTTATGTAGCGAGTAACACCACCCCACTACTCTCCCGCGTGTATCGGTTCGATTCACTAATCACTAATAACCACTACTACCCCCGGCTTGTTGTTGTGTTGAGGCTCTCGCAACTCTATCGACTGGCGATCGCAAGCGCCTGCAGACTGTCGCGTAAGTATTCAAGATCCTGTCAAAGTTTGTAGCTTATACTGCCGCGACTGTGGTGTCTTCTTCTCTCTCTCTCTCTCTCTATGCTCATTTTTCGCGCGATATTAATATTTTTATCTATTTTTATTTAATACTTTTTCTGTCGGTCCTGCCCCTCGTTTGCCTGCTCTCTTTCTCTCTCGCGTAACGTTTTTACATTCTCAATGAATCACATTTCGTAAATTATATAATTAAAATATTTTAATTTTCTTAAAGGACTCCTTCATGCGTTTTTGTTATATCAACTTGTTAATAATATTTCGCGGGGTATAAATCATATCACGTTACATTTTAATGATGCATGTAAATTGAAAGGTTTTATTGCTGCATAAATGTACGTGGAACTGCCGATATGTAATAAGTCAAAATTTATGGGATACCTTTTTACGTTTTGCGAACAAGAAAGGATCCTATTAAGCAGTAGGACTGGCTCTACAGGTTGTAATTATGAGAAGAGACTATAAATCATAGATGTTATCATAGCACGAGAGAGAAAAGAGATACATTAGTAGTCCTCAATTTTCTACTAAATTTGAACCCTAACTAACGAATCCTCCGTAGTCGCATGAGTATTAGTAGTCGTTGTCTACGTCACGAAGTAAACTTGTTTAGACCGCAAGTGTGTTTAAATGTGTAGTACAAAAGTAGCTGTGCACTTACGATCTCGGCACTTAAGGTAAAAAAGAGATTCAATTACGTAGATTATCACTTAAAATTGAACAGGCGTGAAGTACCAAGATCGATCGAATTAATTGACGTAGATCTCGAAATACCATCCTCTCCTCCTCTCCCTCCTCTCTGAAACAAGACAGATTAACGCTTCGTTAGAAGCAACAATGAAAAAGAAATTGACAGCGCACATGGAGGACCTGGTTGGATCTGACCTTGCAGTGTCATTGTAGGGTTTCAAGGGTGAGAGCGGTTTGGCATTGGCGAGGGGTGCCCCCGGCCTGCCGGGTCCGAAGGGTGAGCCCGGCGAACGGGGTTACTGGGGCGAAAAGGGCGCCATGGGAGACGCGGGTTTACCAGGTAGATTACCACGAAACCATTCTACCGCGGCGGGAAAAGACGAAGGATAAAGCACCGAAAAAAAAAGCGATCGTGTGTCCGCCCTCTTATTCCTCGTGGAATTATTCTCCCACGAAAATCCGCGATCCTTCGTACATACCTTTGTCCGTGCCTCTATATCCCCATGCACTCGCACGAAAAATCCAAAAATTACTCGTGTAATCTTTCCCAAAATGATAGTTAGCAGTAACAGCCACATCTTTCAGAAGATAATCCACGATCGACGACGATTAATGTCACCAATCAGATTTTATCGCTAAGTTTTTTATTTCTTTTCTTTTTATTTATTTTTTTGTTTTTAGCTGATTTTTTAACAGTTAACGTTCAATACGAGAAGTTTTAAAATTCATGGTATATCGAATTTTTTCTAGGAAAATAAACAGGCAAATATTCGTTATACGGTTCGTTTACTGTGTCATCAATGGCACCGCACCTTCTTCCGAATATTTTTGCATATAATGGTATGAAAGAATAATGTCTCATAGTTTCAAAATGTATACCATATAATTTCAAAATGTATACCAAATGAACGTGATGTTAAAGAATCCTACTTTTCTGTTTGATTATGCAAACATACAGAGAATAATGCGGGTCCACTGAACACGGGCGCGAGATCAGTTCAGGTTTCTTGTTTAACTTTTCGAAGATATGTAACAGTGGAACGATTCGAAAAGTTCCCTCACGAAACTTGAAAACGACCCCGCGTTAGCCCTTAGGGAAAAGAATTCGAAGGCTGTGCCCTCGATTCTCTTCCGGTAATGCGCGCCAGCTTCGCCTTCCGCGAAAAATTTCAATCAAAAGTTAATAACGGCCATCGTTCGATATAGGAAATTAAATATTAATCCGCTTCGTATCGAATTGAATATTTAATTAAACGTTTGTTTTCTGAAAGAGTCATCGGGCGATCGATATTTATCATTGCTATGTGCGACGTCGCGAATATTATTGCGCATTTAGCGGCAAACGTTGAGGGATTGTTAACGTGACAGTCTTTTGATAGATGCTTTTCATGATGTCAATCAAAATATCGGCAGACAATGCAGAAGATATTAATGTAGTAACAATATTTCATTGACTGCCACTTTAAAACCAGTTTATACAAATCAAATATGTGTTTTGTTACGACTTATCTGGAAAATTTCTCTTTATTTTTCATCATTAACCCGTAACAGGAACATATTTTTTGTGACATTAAACGAACATGTGTTCCTTGGAACCTACTATTTGTTATTAGTTTTATTTTCTTTAAAAATTGAAACATTTATAATTTGTTTGTATTAGTTTAATTTATTTAGTTTTGTTATAAGTTTTATTTTTTCTTTTTAAGAAAATTAAAACATTTGAAACAACAACTAAAACTTGGCACAAATATAGTACGATAAATAATTAGCCTACTTTTATTTTCTGTAAGAATGCACTGAAATTTAATATAAATATAGTACAATAATTAGCCTACATGAACAGAGAAAAACTGTGAAAAATAAGATCGTGAAACAAAAATATTTCAAATCATTGCACTATTTAAAAATTAGGAAAACGTCCCAGGATCGCTGTAGATTCGCATGTTCCAGTTACGGATTAAAAAGAATACGATCCATATATACATATATTCAAAGATCTCTGATATTTAGAGCAACAATAAACGTCGAGTGTTTGCGGATGTCCCTCGGGTGAGCCATTCTATCGAAACGCGATAAACACGCCGGAAGTATTCCCGGCACGGGGAAATAGCCCGGAGCAAAATGAAGTCGAGAGCGGAAAAACGACGGAAGGCGAAGTGGGCAGTGCGCCGGAGGTTTCTTGCTACGCGCGCGTTTCGGAATTGCGGAGCGTCATCGATCGCGCTCTCACGCGCGCGAATTAATCTAACTTCGGCGAGCCCGAGCAACCGAGCAGCTCACGGTCGGCAAATTCGCTTTCAGGGCCCAAGGGAGAGATGGGACTGCAGGGCTTGCAGGGGCTCAATGGAACCGACGGCGATCCTGGTATCCAAGGACCCCCCGGATTACCGGTAAGTGGGACGCAAATGAGAAATGGTTTCCCCGAATCTCCTCGTCTTTCCATGCCCTTCGCGGTGTAATATTCGGGAGACGTTATGGCCACCGTGTTTTACAAAGGTGACGAAAATTTAATATCCCTCACGTCGTCGGACTTTTGCATAATGCCAGCGTATTTTACGTTGCAGTGATTGTTGAATCAAGTTGAGCAAATGCGAGAGAGAATCTCCCGAGAGTTGTAGGAAAATAAATTCATAGTATTATGTATACTTAATAGGGAGTTTTTGTAATACCGTTTATCCAGATATGGTGAACGTTAAGGTCAGGTTATCTTCTTCTTAACAACTAATTCACGTTATTGCAAAAAATCCCTATTGTTCGCTATTTTCTATGGTATTTTTCGATGCCTTAAGATTTAACGTTTCTTTCAGTAGCATCAATATATCGCTTCAAAAATGGTACAAAAATGTGATTTTCGAGTTATTAGTATGAATGAGTTAAGTAAACATTATCGAATTTTTGCATTGTCCAAATAGACTAAAAGAATGTTAAGCACGTTGTTCCAAGAAGGCTTCATACATCCGTAATGTAACAGGTATCATAATATATTCACAAAATATTAGATATCCCTTCCGCGTTGAATTACCAACACATAATACATGTAACATTATATCAACGCAATTTTCAGTTGCGCTCATATAATGTTACGAATGTTATGTGTTAAATCTAATTAATGTGCAAACTCTCAATATTACGTAATACATGGGACGTTTTTTAAAGGAAGAGTTAAGGAAGAATAAAAATACGGCCAATATCTATGAATACATTACATAAATATAAAGACAGTTAAAGCTAGATGTTGGGATAGTAATAATTAATATAAATTCCTAAATACATTTGTTCAGTCAAACTGTGCGCCACATATTGTCGGCCTTGCAACACAATCATTTAACTGAAATAATAATGTCGACAAATTAATTTTTGATCGTCGAATTGACACTACTAGCATACTTAAATTATTAAAGAATAAAGCTGTAACATTTTACATACGTCGCGTTTGCTCGTCCCTTATTTCAGGGAATATCCGGACCCAAAGGTGAAAAGGGCGACTACGGCGATATTGGTCCCCCCGGCCTTATGGGACCTCCGGGTCTACCCGGCCCACCGGTACGTAAATGGTCTTAAACGTCATAGCTTCAACGACCCTTCTTATCATAAATATTACGTCTTATGTGATTTTCTACTTGTCGACAGGGCTATCCTGGGCTGAAAGGCGAAAAGGGAGAGAAAGGTGAATCGGTGAGTCTGTTAAATTTTGTTACTTGCGTTGACGCTGTTTTGAAAATTAATGTGATATCAATAATTAATTCCTATTTGATAAAGAAATAATAAAAAATAATTTATATAATACAATAAAACTAATAAAAATAGATAATGACGTAGAAAAAGATTATATAAATATAGGTAATATGAATTATATAATAAGAGAAGTATATAAGGAATTATATATAAATATAATGTATGTTTTCAATTACATATTTATTATTTTATCTTTTTAATATCTTGACCTAAATCGAATCATGGTTATAAGTTATAATACGTATGAAATATGATCCCACCGGAATGATTTTGCAGAAATTAGTTTTATTCAGGATCCAATAAATTTAAGCAAGATTCTATTATCGAAGAATAATATCTATATCTTTTACGGACGATCATCGATCGATGCAGCTGCCGTGATTTCGATCGCGAAGCTGCCGCATCTTCCGCACAAATGCTATCATATTTTCGTCACAATAGCTTCACGATCGATCGCAGTTTTGGTGCGATCGCGATAGCACCAGAACTGCGATTTCGACGCAGGCGTGCGTTAGGCAGTATCTCACGATAAAATAAATTTCTTTTCATGGCGGGACATCGACCTTCCCACCCATAGAAGTACAAAAAGCTCAGGCGAAGACAGGTATGTGACAGTTTGTATCTGAGATATCTTCGTGCTTTCATTTTCGATCGTGCGACAAAAGAATCGCCCTTGATCGGGGAAGGATGCACGATGGAAAATCGTTAATGTTACATTGAATAGTGTAACGTGATAGTAATACAACATGTATGAACACGAATGCGCGTTTGTTCGCAGGGAGACGGCACGTTCGAGATGAACGCCGGGGAAGTGGTAAGTTAACTCACGAAAACGCTCGTTCTCTCACGAATGCGTCCGCTAGTTACTACGATATACGGTAATGTTCGGTTTGTAAAAAATAGAAAAATAAAAATACGGCGGACAATATTACTTCGCTTCCGTGTTGTCTGTTCGAGCGGGTTTTAAATTTTCGGTCGCGCCATTGCGACATCGACTTTGTGCTCCGTTATGGCCGCATTTTATGTAGTTATGTAACCCTTTGCGGCACGATTTATGGGGATTATAAAGCAATTCGCTCAAAGCTGTAAAAATTGTCGAACAAAATCCGTTTTTCTCCTCGATTTTATGATACATTCATCCGCGTCGGAATTTTTAGGAAAATAAAATACAACAATAATTTACTTTTTGTAATTATTCATTTTTCATTATTATTATCGATTAAAATTATAATTATGTCTTTTTTATAATTATAATCGATCAAAATCTCCATAGCTGTTTTAGAATTCAAAAATTAATTACTTACGGAAGAATAACCTTTTCTTAATCGATGCAATTTTTCGTGCTAGATCGCGATCTAATAAATTATTAGAAATTTCCAGACATCATTTTATTCTTGTTTAATATTCGGTGAACAAAAGTAAAATGATCTTTAGTTAACACTCGGGTGGAAATCTGAACATAGTTCTGTGTGGTGTAATTTTAGTGATTAATTAACAATGGCTGCGTGGAATAGAATAAACAGCTTTGCAAGAGTAGTTGAAAGATACATTAACATGATTGGTTTAGATCCAGTGAGGAACTGAGGACAAGATCAGTCGTATTAAAGATTTCTGCAACAGTTGTAAAGCTGCTTTTTCTCCTGAACGCGCCTATTAAAGCCTGCGAAACACGATGCTTGTTTTTCTGCTGGATTCCTAGCTGAATTAAAATCTTGCCATCGTAATGGCTACGGTACTGACAGTGTCAGCATCGTAGCCAATATGGTGGCAAGAATTTATTCTAGCCAGCAATCCAGCAAGAAAACAAGCATCGTGTGCCGCCGGCTTTAATCGCATGTGATGTAGCACGAAAAATCACATCGCGTGCCTTTGATTGAAGTGTCGATAGTTATTAATTCGTGACATTGTTGATGCATAGATAATGGGCCCGCCCGGACCCCCAGGACCCGCTGGTACCCCCGGACTGCAGGGCCCACCTGGGATCAAGGGTGACAGAGGACACGATGGCGCCAAGGGCGATCCTGTCAGTAACCATTACCTATCTGTTGTCCGCGTGTGTAGAATATGAAAGCAGTTATACGCGTTCGCGTTCGCGCAATGGAAAACGAATGTTGATTTCTCTCTCCGAGATTGCAGACATCGAATAACAGAATCGATCTGTTTGCATCGCTCCGTTTTGTTCGAAAAACCATCAAAAAAAAACCTTTTATACATCAAGCTTTATATTTTTATTTATCTCCGTCGTACTATCACTGAATTTGGGAAACGTAACAACTACAGCGAGTTCGGTTATGATCGCAATAATAAATGGCGTTATTTTTTCACGTTTATTAGTTTAGTTCGTGCTGCGCAGCGAACAAAAAAAATTTACAACGCGCTAACAGGATTTTTAAAAAATTCATTCTCTTTCGTACATTTCAACTTTCTCTATTTTACATCGTGATGATATGAAAGGTAAAGCCACAGTCGAGAAAGATATTCGTTCTGATCGCAAAATAATGAGAGAAAAGAAGGTATGAAGGGCCGTAGTTGAGAACCCTTCGTATGCGAGAAAGATCCCGTTTGCAATGTGACTCCCGAGGCGTGAAGCTATTCACGCCGGTGATCTTTGAGATCACCTTTTTGCGTGCGCGACACCATTGCAATGCGGACAAGCCCGTTCTCACGCGTCGCTCTTTCTTTTTTCACGTTACAGGGAGAAAAGGGTGCCAAAGGGGATCCTGGTCCGATGGGACTGCCCGTACGTATTTTCTCTCCAGATTACACACAGCATGCACTCAAACACACGCACACACGTGTAGCCTTAAGCGCGCTCTAAAAAGGAAACGCGGATACAGAACGCACAAAGGCAGATAGAACGCAGACGGGACCCCCCCGAACGTTCTCGGGGGAAAAAAAAAAAAAAAAACTGTCCTGTGTCCTTTGCTTTTTCTGCAAAAAAATTGCGTTCCGAAAATTCCGAACGTTGCATTGTTAGCGTTAGTATCTCTTTCAATCCATTTTGTGAGTTTACTGCAAATTTTTCGATAAATTTTTCATCTAAAAACGAAAAAATAACGTTGTTTATTTTTTTTATCAATACACTAAAATATGATACACAAGATTTCTTTTTCCATTTTCTGTCAACACGAAAAAAATTTTTTGGAACTGAAAGAGTCGTAGGGCGTAATTAACGAATTGGACTTTATCGGCAGAATGAAGTAGGTACACGAGAAAGAAAGACGGGAGGAGGCGTGCGCACAATGTTACGAAGGTATACACGCAATCTCTCTGCATGACAAAAAGACCGAATACAAAGTTAGAGCCTGCATTATCCTCCTCCGAGCGACGGAAAAGTCGCGCGCTTGATCCACCACCTGCGAGACCGCGTCGAATGCGGCGGCGAGACATGCTGATGGGCATTCTGTCTATCTAATTTCAGGGCCCCATGGGACTGAGGGGAGAGTCCGGAAAGCCCGGGGATTCCGGGAAACCTGGCGCCATGGTAAGAACGCGGACCTCCCGCTCCTAACGTCATCGTAACTTGGCGTCGCCGCCGCGGAATTCGCTGATAAGCCGATAAGTGCGATTCACACATTATCGCGCGAAGCAGCCTGGCGAAGCGTGCCTCTCGATCGCCTCTCGAGTACGCTTTACTTCTGCGTGTACATACGATACCATACAAAAGGGGCTTTAGGGTAAGAGGGAGCGTCGACGAAGCGCGACTGTCGTCACGTCGAGAGTGGCGATTCGAGAGGAGGCGAGCGGACGTCTGGTTAAATACTTTGCGCGCGCGCGAAGACAGTCGCTTCCTGCCGACGACGACGACGACTGCCGTTAACGCGTTAGATCGATAGAATTGCAATCGCGAGGCATTTTAGGACTCTCCCAAGTCGGCTGGATTCCGTCGAGAATGGATCTCGAGCGCCGTCGGTCGGTCTCGTCTCCCAGCGAGATCGCTGTCACTACAGACTCTACGTTCGAGGTGTCTTAACGCGAAGTTCAACGTCAACCTTCTTCGAAATTGAGAAGACTCGATCCACTTTGGTACGGCGGAACGCCGAGGTCGCGCATTTTTCCTTTCGACATCGGAAAATACATTACCGATCGAATCTCATGGACACTCGTGTGTCTTGAAAGAATACGCGCGCCTCGGCGTTGGGAAGTTTTCAACGCCGACGGTGTTCCTTTGCGCCCGACTTCGCTCGAGAACAAAACTCAAAAGTCGGATCATACAAGTTCCGTACATTGGAAAAAATTTTACTAAATTCTAATACATATTTATTTGAATAGTGCTAAGTAAACATTTACTTGTAATAAATATTTACTCAACAAACAGAATGATAGTTCGAATCGATGATTTTTGTATCAAATAAATATATGTTTACATTTAGTAAATATTTACTTGGAATATTTACTATTTAAATGAATATTTATTAAATTTAGTATTGTTTCAGTGTATATAGCTTGCGATCGTAATTTTTCACAGCGTTTACAGGCGTGGAATAGATTCGTCGAGCGATTCGATGTCTAATGTTGGCGACTACAAGAACGCGGAAGGGACGTCTTCCAGGGTACCAAAACTCGTCAAAGAGTTGGCCACACGAAGTGAAAATTACGCCTGAAAATCGGCGATATCGAAACGAAGCTGTATATGTCCGGTTACTGCCTAAAATTATTTTAGAAGACAAATTCTTTGACGAATTTTTAAAGGCATATTTTCGACGTATTCTCTAATTAAATTGCCTGAAATTATTGGCTGAAGAAAGAAATTTCGATTCGTCAAAAAATTCGTTGCTAAAATATATATCTTTCCGAGATCATCCCTGTATGTTCGATGTCGTGTACACCGCGGGGCCGCTTATTCTGCAAAGAGTTTAAACCAGATTCCGGTGAAATAACGTTAACGAATTAATTAATCCGCGGGCAAAGAGAGCGCGATGCCACGTGTTCGCTTTAATGAACTCCATGAGATTTGGTTTACGCCACTTTCAAAGTAAGCTGCTCGCTCTCGGTTCACGCGTTAACGCATCACTACCATCCGTCCTTCCGCTCGCGCCGACCGTCGAGAACAGATTCTCGATCGCAGACACGAGTACTCAGAGTTTGGTGGATCCATAAAGGATCCGAACTTCGCCGTCCCGCTAAATTTTGTATCAGCGTATACGAAAAGAAGCGTACGGACGCCGTTTCTCCGAACAAGTCATTAATAATGTATAAGCATGTAAGGACTTCTCGATCTTATCGAATTAAATGTGAAAACGGTGCTTTAGTTATCGCCCTATTGCAGCATAACGGAGTGAAGTATACGACATTATTTCATTGCGTTACGTACGAAATATATGCGTACACTTGATAATTTCGCGATATTTTATCCCCTCGAATCGCATAAATTTGCGTAGTACGTTTTGCATAAAACTTGAGGAGCGTGCTTTTTATTTAGAGCTCAATTTTTATTTGAAATAAATTATTTTTTACAAACGTGACAAGTTAGAAGAAAGAACAAAATTAGATGAAGGCGCAGTTTTACCGATCCAGAAGTGTCGAAAAGTAGAAGTTTAATTTTCGTCCAAACTAATTTGACGAGCCTTGAGAAACAATTTTCAGTCTGTCCCTTGTCTGGTAAAATCTACTTTTCCGTTGTGCCTCTCTTGAGAATAATTCAGTCGGCTTGTACTTAACGAAAGCTCGCTCTCGCAGCATTGCCGGCACCTAATAATAACCCAGCCATTTATCATGATTCCTCTTCGTTCTACATTTCTTCGTAGCATTCCAGTCGCATTTCACGAATCATCAAGAATTCCGCACGGTTACAAGGGAAGGGAAATTCTGCAAGATATATTGATGAAGGGGAAAAAGGAGGAAGGAAACAGAGGGGAATAAAAATTAAGACTCCCCCGATCACATCGCTATTGTACTAAATTGTGACGTCAAAAGCGAGAAATCGGACGTGATCTTTTCTCTTGCGGTAGAAGTTATAAAGAACAAATGTAAAGATTCATATCGAGGTACAGGTTGATCGCGTTGAACATTTTCCTGATTACTCGTTGCTGGCGTCAGGATGGCTTCATCAGGAACATCGATAACGTCCCTCATCTTTCAACACTGCTCGATCAGGACGCGAACGTTGATAAAAAATCGCGTTGATTGACAATTAAATTCGCTAAAAGCGGCTTCTCGCGCAGAATACAGCTGGATGCGTTTTAAATCATCGCTTGCATAAAGCTTGCATAAAGAAGCAGCAGTCGAGGCGTGGCAGCGAAAGAGGGAGAACCATGATGGGCAAGTGTCGGTGTATTCCGGCTCCCTTTACATTCGGCAAGCACCTTTTACGAGAGTCGTGGGGAAACGTTGGTGATATCGCGCGTGAGCATCGGTCGCGAGAAAATTTCATGTTCGCCGAACAGTAGTAAAACCGTTTCCAAGACTGGCCGCTACGAATAACAAGTAGGAGGTACACCTCATCCCTCTCTCTCTCTCTCTCTCTCTCTCCCTCTCTCTCTGCCTGCACTTTCGGCTTTTCCGCTCTATCCCGTCGGGTTGCACTAACGTGCTATCGATAGTTTGCGATATTTTCCTGCGGAACTCTAACGTAGCTGAGAAACACAAGTGCGTGACGTTTTCATCAATAATAAAGTCGATACGACATGCTCTTTGGCGATATAAACTAAACGTCAACTACATAAACGCTTGGTGGACGCGATTTAACGTTTACGATAGTCAATAATTTCGACAAGCGTTTCTCGGCGACGTGGTCGACAAATTCGGAGTTAACCGAGCTTTGTCCTTTTACAAAAGTGTTTCGCGAATGCTGACAGAAATGTGGAAGGGTTTCGATATCGTGAGTTACGATCCTCGCGTCAGCTCGGGAATATCGCACGATTTACACGCAAGATGTAATTACCGGTAGGTGATCACTCGGCCTAAGAAGGATCTTATTCGAAGTACAACGAGATGCTCCACGAAAGCATCTTTAAAGACGATCTCGATATATAGGAAAGTCGAAAGTACACCAACTACTTCCTGTGAAAGATCTGCGGTGTTGGTGTGCGGCCCCGATCGCACGGAAATTGATTTACTCAAAATTGTCCCTTTAATTTCAAAATCCTAGAGATACGATAAATCGCAAGAATCCTCTCATCCGTGAGCTGGAATTAATAACAATTTTTCCACGGAAATTAATTTTTACACAAGAATTGGTAACAATCAATTGTGTCAAATTCATGTCGAAAAACACTGTCGTATCAAGCTATAGCACTTCGAGTCGTTTAAATCAACTTCCGCGTTAATCGATCGCACACCATCCTCGACGTCTAAAAATACAAGAGGCAAGAAGAATCGTGAAAATGTACAGTGTAGAATATACGGTGCTCTCGGCGCGCCGTCACAATCGATGTACCGTATACCACGGACTATACGAGCGGACTACTTCTAACACCCTGTGTACACCCCGATAAATTAACGCAGATTTAGTCTTAAGAGGATAAACTGGACGAGAGAGCTCCGTCGGACTCCACGCCGACGACCCCTATCTGGCGGCAATTCTCCTGTGCGTGTAAAGTTTACGACGCCCACATATACATATTTAATACACGAGCACAAACACGTCATATATGTATACAAACGCTCACACATACACGCGCGACACACGTGCATATACACGAAGGAACGTATGCGTGAAACGAGAAACGCAGTCGCGTCGAGATGCGCAAGTCGAGAGATGTATATAAATGTACAGCGATTCTCAATCCTATCGACGAATACGCGATTTTTTCTCGGGACGCCAGAACGGAGTTTTTCAGTTTTATTAGGTACTCTTGCTTGCGTGAATATCTCGTTGATCAACGGCGAGGAAACTGGAGCGTAAATCGATATGGAATACGTCTGTAATTATCGATTCTGTAGAACAAGGATATCTACGTTTGTTTTAAGTCGATTCGATATACAGTCCCAATCTCGGCGAAATTTCAGTCAACGAGGTACTCTCGCGAGTGAGAGTACCCATTAAAAAGTTCCGTTTTAGTGCGCCGGATGAATCACGAAAGTTCACCGATGAAACTCGAGAACGCGCTGTATACTCATTTGTATGTGTATGTCTGTAAATGTAAGTACAAGTAAAAGGTGCATATACACACGTAACTGCGTGTCGTGTGCAGGTATACACACACCCACACACACACACACACACACACACACATATATATATACACACAGGCTGTCAACGTTGTGTCGAAGGCCTCTTACTATACGGATTCGTTGACGAACCCGAAAATCGACCTCTTCCTCGTAACGAAAACCTTGACGTAATCTAATTAGGATGATTCCCGACGTCCGAGATTAAAGGATTTTCCCCGAATTATATAAAATTGTACTCCGAGATGCGAGAGTAGCTAATATTTTTCAGCTAATTTAAAACGAGTTTTGCCTTAACGAAAATTTCAACTTTACTTGCCAAATATTTGATCTTTTTGCCTGAGCGAAAGTCGACTGAGCGCGGAAGAACCCATAATTGGAGGAATGTTTCAGTAGACACAGAAGACACTCTGTGTGCACATATATATATACATATATATATATGTATATGTATATATATAAGTATATATAGGTATATGTACACACGAATTCCCAGGCGTGTGTGTGCGTGCGTTAATTGTTAAGGCGGCGTTCCTCTTAAGCCGATCAACTTAAGGCGACCTAATTGAATGCGTATGTGAATACTGACTCTAACAGCAGTTTTGTTTTACATTGTCCCGATTAATAAACAGAATGTGCATGTGCCTGTGTCCTTTGCTTCTAAAACTGCCTACCAAATTAATGCTTTCACACACGATAATCCAGTAACATAATCAGATACCTTTTTTTGCTTCTTTGCATTGTGCTCCGACATGTTTTGCGATCCGGGCCAATCCGGACAACGAGATTTCTCTGCTCACTTTCGTTCTTCCGTTCTCTCTATGTATTTGCATCTGTTGCATAAGTTGCAATGGAAAACGATTAAAGACAAGGAGAAAAGAAACAACCAAAAATTAACACGTGTTAATTTGCTGCGACCACGACGGTGGCGTTAATCGGCGGATCGTTCAGACCGGCGATTAATCTTGCTACCTTAGAAATAAGATCGAAAAGAAGAAAAAAAAAAGAAAAGAGGATAAGCACAAAGACGCGACGAAGCGTCGACGCTTCGGTACGAAGTACGCTCGTTTTTTTTTCTTTCAACTTTGCTCAAGCTTTACCTTCCGACGACGCCGACCGCCCTCGATTGTCAGTCTGTTCCTCTCTCTATCTCTCTCTTTCTCCCTCCCCCCCCTCTCTCTCTCGGTGTCGGGATTAATTTTGATAATACGAAAGCGGGGGTGAAGATTATCTTGCGATGATGGACCGAAGATGAGTTTCGTAGTTGAAACACCCGAAGAACGGAGACTAAACGAATCTAATTCATTATACGCCGAGTGAGAGTTTTATTCGCGAAAGAAAATGTTTGCACACCGTTTTTAAGAAATAGCTCGGAATCGTCTCTCCATCACGAAATTATACATAATAAAAATTCGCAGTTACACCTCAAATATTTACCAAGTATAGGGATATTCGATGTAACAAGAGTGCGAGTACAGAATCCGATAGAAACACAATTTCGTTACAACGAAAACCGATCGAATATCCCCGGCCAATATCTATACCGACACATCAAGCGCGATATAGCGCAACTATAACTTAATTTGAAAATCCGAACGAGAGTTTCGAAACTTCCTCTCGCGCGCGCAGGGATGCTGATCGAGAGTTGCAGCTATATATATTTATATAGCGAAACAGCAGCGCTGTGCAAATATTCTTTCTCGCCGAGCCGATGGAATTTTCACGCGAATCGATCGGCGCAACGGGAATTAAACCGAGAACCGATCCTGAAACCAGGGATGTGCGATCTCCGGATCGATTCGCTAAAAAGCGATTTTTTTGCAAAAATATCACTTCGAAATAGCCCTCTTTGTTAAAAAGAAAAAAAAGAAGCGATCCTTTACAAAGAGAGATCGGTTTTAAATATAAC